TTCTCTCCGTCTCATATCTTGCTGCATATGTTCACAAGTGAACCCTCCGCGCCTCACAGGCAAAGAAGGGAGATGGAGGCTACGGGCAGCGATTTTAGATCAGAGGTACTGGATGTCACTGTACATTCCAGTGAATAGGACTTTCTTAATCTGTGACATCATCAGTCATACAAACCTGTGCGCACGAACAGACTTTCACTGTCATGCATAGTGTGAAGCACACCAATATCCAATGATAATAAGCACATTACTTTCTCCAAGATTTTAAGACATCCCCCGTGCTGCACCTTTTTCTAAGTTGAATGTTCCCCGTGCTGCATTCTCACACTTGCACCGTATTTGTTCCATTGGGCTTTGTGGTTCTGAATTCGGTTCTTTAAGTCCCGACTTCCCTCTTGCTCTTGGGTTTTGACATCTCTGTTGTCATGGTAACTCTTCGCATCTTACCGTATCCATGAGTATCTTTTTCTGCAGCATGCTCATCTCCTTGCGTAGTTCTCCTTGGACGTGACTCTGCTGATCAGTGTGGCACTGTTCCAACTCGTTCATCGTCTGCAATTACGAAACAATCAAGACACAAAACTTAGGAGAAGAAACGCTGCAGGCAGGCAGTTAGCAAACACCGTCAAAATTTCCCCAGTCATTTTCAAGGGAATTGATTCAGTGTTAATTTTCACTGCAGGTTTTGCCCTTACCCGATGTTTATATCTATAAACGCTGTACGCTCAGTTCTTGTCCAACAGCTTGTGAAAAATTTCACAAGCTTTCTCTGGTGGGACTTGAACCCACGACTTCCTGCTTACTAGTGTAGACATCTGAAGCACTCGACCACCAAGCTTGCCGGGGTCAGTTGGCTGGTCCCTTCACAAGTCTAGTCACAAGTCGCTTCACAACGCCAGTCATGAGTAACATGATGAACAGTGACAAACGAATGCTTTTATCACTACTCATTGGAACAGTTGTTTGAATTGGCTTAAGACTAAATGACTTGTGACAGGCTTGTGATGGACTGACAGGGACTTGCAGGGACTTGTATTGGACTCGAATACAACACTAACATGTGGGGGGACTCAACGACGTAAAGAATTCTGCGTCAAGTTAAAATCTGTGGGCATTACCTTTGAGTACTGATCAAAGAGTTGCCTAATGGTCTTCAGTCGCTGTGACATCGTGATGCGAGATTGTTGAAACAGTTTCTGCTGCTGACGGAAGACTGTCTGATATAGGACAGAGGTGCCAACAAACAGTTAGTTTGAATCAGAATTAAGACTAGCAAAACACCCACCACCGCATGACATGTATAAACTTTTCTAAATACTAACAGAAATAAAGTCTTGGTTTCAAGCCGTCGCTGCTTATTTAGTTCACGGATCCACTGTCATAAGCGGGCTTTTCACGACCAACAGCTATTGCCCACAAACCAGCGTTTGGTCATGATAACGCCCTCTTGTGGCAGCAGTTTCATGAACTGAATAAATAGTAACATCTCGGAGGCCCAGGTTCGAGTCCCGGCTTGGCCCAGGCTTTAAAGTGCATTTGGTTTCCAGTCCATACTCGCTCTCGCAGGTTTTCTCCGGGTACTCCGGTTTCCTCCTACCTCTAAAACTGGACCTTCTTCCTAACTCTGTAATGTGATGCTGATTAATAAAGTGTACGAATAAACGTACAGCTATTGGCGCAAACAGCCTGAGTGGTTGAAAGCGCCATTAAAACAAAACAACAACCACCATAACTAAGGAAGACCTTGATGTTTGGCACGCAGCAAGTAAAAAAAACACACTCTGTGCAGCAAGAGTAATCTTTGGTTTAAAAGGGCTGGGCATATTCCTCTTTTCAAAAGTGTTTAGATTTCCTTGTTTAATCACGCTAATTCCTTCAGGTAAACACATGGGGTAAAATTTCATTATCTACAGAATTACTCGTACTTTGCCTTTTCTCTAGTAAATTGGGACCGAGAGTTTTTTGCATCCCGAACTTTGTCCATTTTGAACTTAGACTCTCAATGGATTTGGTTGAGGTTTTTGAGGTAATTGATGACCTGTATTTTTTCCTCCTGTTCCTTGACTTTGTTGACGTCTGTTTCCCACTGGTCTAGCACGCTGCTCAGTTGCTTGGTGTATTCCTCTTGCAAACGGTTTCTGAAAAGAAAGCAAAATAGTTCCCACTGTTTGTATTGAGAGAAAATACAACGTCATTTCACAGAGAATGAAAATCACGATGTTGATACAGGAAGCGATAATTTGGAAACCTCTTTTTCAAATGCACTGGTAGTATTTATGTTTCATTTTTTCCTTCATTGGGGATGTGGCATTGCATGACATATTTTCCTTGTAAGCGCTGGCTTCATTTTCCCACAATGCAACAAACTGATACCATCGCATTCTGGCAAAGAAGCCCATGACTGATGGGTGATTAACCAGAGGTCACAGGTCACTCCAGTAGGAATTTTTTAAATCAAGGGCGGAGTTTGTCACTCGTTTTGCCATATAGTGGCTATTTTTTCAACTTCACAATGATCTAATCCTGCAGTACTTACTATTTTCACGGGATATCACTTAAGTTCAACAGAAAGTCCTTCACCTCCTACACGTACATGTATAAGATTGCGTTGCAACAAGGAATGAAAACCCACACCAAAAAGAGCCAAAAATTAAACTCGAACTGCAACCTAGGTCTTTGCCTTTGGAAATAGGTGGAGATGCGGCGACATTAGATGTCACCGTCACCCTGGAAGCCTGGCTTGTACACGGCCAAAGATACATGTAGTCTTACCTCTCTGTCTGCTGCATCTTCCAGATTTTCTCCACCTTGATGTTAGCGGACTTCAGGCTCTGCTGAGTGAAATTTTCCAACTTCTTCCGCTTGGACACCAGGGATTTCCTGATATCAGCTTCAACACAAGAGACATTTTGGGTACTGAAGTCAGAGAAGCGCAGGTGGGTCAAATGCCTCGGGAAAATAAATTTGTTTTTAAATTTCTGGTAGAAGTTTTGGAGAAGTTTAATCAAATCATGAAAGAGGGATTTTGGGAGGGTAATCAAATTCTTTATGGAGATGATACTGGACAATGTACTTGGAAGATGTTAATCCCCAGCTGAGATTGATGTAACCTGATTTAGGTTAGTCGGCAGTGAGACTCATTCAAGACCCCTGGGATGAATACTTGTGTAGCTTACCTCCAAAAGACTCTAGCATAGTTTGCATCTCTCCGCTGTGATGAAAAAACACACAATAAAAAAACACAGTCTGAGTTTCTATCATCAGTGATTAGGTTTGGCTTTAAAAAGGAGAGTATTCGTGAGATTATGCCTAAGCAACTGTGCCGATTATCTTTGTGGGGTCCTCAGCATCTGAAAATGGGTGCCAAATCATTCCAGGGTGGAAGGACATTAAAGTCAAATGTGCTGAGATACAATGTGAAGCAGAAAAATTGGTTAACTGTACATGCTGACTAGAAATCGGCATCTGTGAAGAAATGCATCTGCTAACACCAATACAAACCATGACATTATTTGGTATCACATGAATGGAAGTAGAACATGGAATAATGTAGTAATAATGCGAGCGTGCAAACAAATTTATCTTCAAGCGAACTTGACACTCAGTAAAGATGTCATCGGGGACTATGCATGGAAAAGCACTATGTTTGAATGTACAGTAAGCTTTGCAGCTGTGCGTTTGCATGAAAGCAGAACAAAGTGAAAAGTTAGAGGCTAGGGGTCAGGGGTTTGACATGAATCGTGCAATACAGTCTACTGTTTGTTGCCGTAGATCGACCAATTATAATTAAGAATTCAAGTCTGCTTGAAGATAAACTCCCCTATTCCCTGTTTACTCTGCCAAGCAGCATGTTTTGTTAACTGCAGTAAGTTGTATCTGTAGGTGCCTGATATGCTTCAGAACTGAGGCAGTATCCTCTGCCTTGGCTTGAACCTGTAACATAACATGTATGTGGACTAACAAATTTCGGCAGTGCACAGGGCCCTAATTTCCTCGGCAAGGTGCCTCCCTAATGAGGGAGGACACACAGATGTGAATTCTACCCAAGTTACTCACTCAAAATTTGTGCTAGTTTGTGGGAGGCTACCCTCTTCATCTTCGTCTACTTCCTCGTAAAACCGCTTCTTGGTAGCCTTGGGTGCGGTCGATGCATCATCTTCTACGTTATTTGAAAACGGAAGAATCTCAAAATTTGTCAGGAGTTCCCTGCCATGTTTTTTCAGTCTTTGAGTGACGTAAACCTTGATTTGACTGATTGTGGGGCCTAGCATCATAGTGGAACTTATGCCTAATTTCTGTATTGGGTTTTCACCTTGAGACGGAAACAATGATAAGGAATAAGGTTCGGGGGTAACGTTGTTGGTCCTGATCTATCAGTCACCTGATTGCTCTGTGCAATTGGTCAATTCTGAAATTGCCAATGTGACTTCCCTATTTTGACACAATCTTTCACAAGTGTGAATAAGAAGGAAAAGCCAATTGGCTGATGGCGGTAAGATCAACCAATCTTGCAAAGATCAGGTGATCATACATATCACAAATTACCTCTGCTGCTTCCAGCTGCTTCCTCCTGGTTGTCCTCATAGAAATCATACTTGTCGACAGGCTCTTTGGACTTGTCTTTCTGAGTTGAAGCTGTGGGCGTGGCTTTCTTTGCTGCTGTAGAAGCGCGCGGCATCCTTCTCAACTCCAATGCTAGCGAGTGGTTCCTACAATTGTCTTAAAAGAAACAGGCCCAACAAAGCAATAATTGATGATACAGGCCTACCTGTGCACCTGTAGCCTACATGTACTTTGTATTATTTTTGTATGGTTTTTGCTTTTTGCAAAATATTTATCAAGGCCATGTAGGCCTATTCATGTATATGACAGTTAGGGTAATTCACTGAATCCCTGTTCTTGGCTACACCTGATTAACACGGGAACGGTGTTCTTGATTAGGTTGTTATGAACGGGCAGGTGCGTGTCGCGTTGTAGCAAAGCAATGCAAAATGGCTGACAAATCTCGGATTTTGCACTTATTTGAAGACGATTCAGAAGATTCAAGTGAAACAGATCAAACTATGACCCTCACAGCAGCCCCTCTTTTTGAAGAGAAGAGAGCGAGAATTCCTGGGTTTACTGAAAAGGTAATTCCAGCCATGCAGGACTCAGAATTCAGATCTCATTTTCGTCTGTCCACCAGGACCTGTGAATATATTCTGCACAGTCTACCATTTTGTTCTAGCTGCACCTCGCTTAACCCTCCACAACTGGGGAGTGAAAACATCGATCCGCGAACACCCTCGCGGGTCAGTTTATCACATTCAACGCCGCTGTTCTTGAGTCCGGTCAACTTGAGTGTTGTCAAGAACAGGGATTCGACGATGCTCTTAGGGTCTGACTGTGGTGGATTGTAGTAAACAAAGCAAGTGCATCAGCTATACTGTATGTGGCTACAGCTGAGATCTGTTGCTCAGTTAAACCCCCCCCCCCAGCAGTGGTTGTATCCTTATTCTGGCCTAATACTTTCATTTAGGCTTACTAGCTGTTAAGTGATTATGGGAGTATCTGACCAGAGGCAGAATGTGATTGATCATTATTAGGCGAAAACCTAGCGTCTGAATTGGCTGCACATGCTTGATGCTCAACTACAAACATAACGTTAGCCATAGCATAGAGGTACATGTACTGATGTAGGAAAGGCCTGGACTGCCGTGATGATATTATTGTACATTATCATGGCGGTGAAGGTCCCACTCAGCCATTTAACATGTGTGACCGTGTGGTTGCCAGGTCCCTAATTTTGCCACCGATTGTTAAGTCTGATTGATTTTCACTGGAAGTGGCAAATAAAGGACCTGGCGACTATATTGTCGTGCACACTACACTAGTGTATGGCAGTGCCAGTTTTCCTGTCTGGTCAAACATGCGGTCCCACCTCCTTCGCGTCCTTTAGTTTTACCCATTTTAGGCCTAGGCCTGCTTCACAAATTGCGACTAGGGGGCCTACTAACTGACATGGCATAGGCCCAACGTTATCCCTCCACCAGAAATAATACTTAATCACTGCGTCCTGGAGGTACAACTACTACAAGTACATGTAGGTCTAGGCCCCAGGCCACAAACAACAATTGTTTTTCTAGGCCCCCTTCATTAAATATGTTTAGGTCTCAAACTTCCTTGCTGAAATTTAGGGCCCGGGCTTCGCACAACATTTCAAATGTTACCTGCAAGGCTGCATGTGTCAAGAAATACGATAGGTCTATTCATTGTTACATGACCTGATGCCACACCCGAATCCGCGTCGTTCAACCTCGACCGGTGTACCGTCGGCATGTAAAGCATGATCCAGGGCCTAGACCTACACCGGTCGACCACTGCACTGTCATGACTGTAGTGCTACTGCAACCAGTAGCAATCCACATGGCGGCATATTTTCACATAAACACACCAAGTCACACTGACATGACCGTCAGCACCAGGCCTAACCACAGAACCCTGCTAAACACATGCTAAAGTTAGCATGTTGCCCTAGAACTTTCAAGTATGTACCTAGGCCTAGTTACCAGCTACTAGTAGTCGTAGAACGAAGGAAATGGTTCTAACGTTAGAGCAGAATGTGGACTAAACTCAAGCTTTTCGTGGTCTTAACCAACAATCAAATCACATGAGATGTGCTCTGACGTACCTTTAAGTATAGTGGCAGTCGATGACAACCGCAATTAAAAAAACAACTCCGAGGAATTTACGTGCATGCAGTGCTTACGTCGCTAGCTAGCTGTGCGCGCCACACGAAAATATTTGACTGAAAGGTCACTAAAGGTCAACTATAGACGTAACTTCGATATTCATCCGCTCCAGCAAAAGCCCGTTTCCAGAAAATAATTTCAATTCTTCGATGAGTCTTAATATTAAATGATGTAACATTAATAAATGCGATTGTAAAGGGAAATCAGAAGAGCAAGCGAGTAGGTTTCTATTATTTCATCTGAAGAGCCGTCCTATTTTTTTGCCATGGTTTTTAAGTCGTAAGGACACTTTATAAGGGAAAGTTGTGGTGGGACGATTTGAAGTAAAAAGTTCGTCTGCCTCAGCCAGCGCGTGGCTTTGATGGTTTTGTATAACCCGACTCCGAGTCGAGTCGCTATTTTTATGACTTGTGACTTGACTTGTTAATACCAGCTTTGACTTGTGACTTGACTTGGACTTGCCAAAAGTGACTTGTGACTTGACTTGGACTTGCAAAAAGAGGGTTGTTACTTGACTTGTGTTTTGACCCAATGACTTGTGATTTGACTTGTCCTGTGACCAAATGACTTGTGACTGGACCTAATGACTCACAAGTGACTTGGACTTGCATATAATGACTTGACTTGGACTTGTAAAATATGACTTGCTGCCACCTCTGTTGAAGTGTGCAGAATTCAGGGCATTAAAAACTATTAACTGATTCTTACTTGTTAATCGGCAAAACAAGCACTAGGCCTATTCCACTCAGAATGGCAAGCAGCTGCAAGTTATGTCAGGATACCGTCTGTGTCTCGTTTCTTCTCTGACGGTGTCGCCAATCAAGATGATTTATGGCGCCCTCTTTGTCGACAGATATAAAGTGGGAGCAGTATGGAACACTCAGAGATCTTTGCAAAGACGCCCCGTTTAAACCCAATTCGGACGTGGAGACGGGTGGGGGGGAGCTCCAACATTCCCTGTCGATGTGATTGTAAGTGGTTCAGAATGGCCTGAGCTGGTGTATGCATGTAAATGGAAGGAAGTGTACATAAAAGCAAAACACCTTGAAGCGAACTGGAGGCAAAACCGCTGCTATGCCGTGTCGTTTAAAGTTCGGTTCAACTGGTCATACATATGGCACGTCTGTCGATGGTAGTGACGACTTTGACCAACCGTTTCTCTGTAGTCTGGCTGCCGAAGGGAATTGTCTAGCTGTCGGTATCAACGACGGTAGTTTGCATATCTCGGATATTTCCAGCGGTGAACGTCGGCATGTTATTCGCACAGGTGTAAGTGAAGCGAAGGACGCTCTGAAGATGAAGGATGGCATCATAGCTGCAGGATGCAAGGACGGTAAGATTCGAACCTACTCCGCCAAGACTGGAGAGCAGCTACAAGTTATGTGGGGTCACCGGTTGGCGGTGTCTTGTCTCTTCTTTGATGGTGAATCTATAATTAGTGTTGCGCTGGCAGACCCCGCCATAGATGAAGAAGAATACACCGACAGTGATATTAGAGTCTGGAGTGCCGCAGACGGCGTCTCTCGTTATCTCTTCGACTTTAACTCTGTAGAGACACGTCTTACCCATGTGGACTATAAAGACAAGATTTTGGCTGGTGCTTACAAGGACAACATAATCCGAGTTGGGAATACAGACAATGGTTCTTGCATGCGGGAATCGCTTGTATGACGAAACTGATTTCCTGCCATCTTGGAGAAAATACTCTCATCGGCGTATCTGAAGATGCACTTGTGCAGATCTGGGACCAACAGTCAGTGAAATGCATCAAGGCGTTTCATGTGCCGTTTGATCCAGAGAAACATGACCTGGGAACGGATAAGGCGTCTTCCTACGCATTTAGTGGTGAATACCTCGCTGCTATATCTGACTCGGGGGTAACAGTCATGGACCTCGACGGGAAAAGAGTTGGGACTTTTTGACCCAAGAATGACCTTGATAAGAAACTGACAGGAACTCCCACTATTTCGGTTGAGTACAAGATTACAGCAGCCTATTGCTTCCACCGCAACAGACTTGTTCTAGGGTCCACGACTCATTACTCAGGACGATACGACTTGTGGATATTTGATTCTCGGACATCTGGGGATGGTTTATCGGAGACCGATTTCAAGACTGAACTAGGCATGGAATCGTTTGCAGAGTTCACTGGGGCTCATTCCCCAGCGTGGATGAATGACACCAACGTTGTCTTTTAGGGACTTGATAAAGCCTGTGATTTTGGTCCCCAACGGCCCAAAATTGTAGTCCACCATTATTAATGAAAATCAGAATAGCGTACGTCCCTAAAAGAGTATAGTAATGATGTTACTTGTGATAAAGTTGACGAGTGAAGGGAGTAGTTTTTTTTTAATTATTATTTGGTTTTGACACTGACTGCTGTAAATTTTGGGTAGAGTATTGTACGCATTAAACACAAACCATACGTACATGTAACACTACCTCATATCCCAAACTATTTGACATGAAGACATCAAGATGCATGAAATTATATAATTTGTCTTTATTTGAACTTTTAGTGGGAAGAACGTTTTGGTATGCTGTAGAGTTAAACTTATTAATTGGAATAGGGCTCAACATTTCTACTTATAGAGTAAGTCTGAGCCATAATTTGTCATAGTTTAATTGCAGATGTCATCATTTTTGCTTGATTTTTTTCTGCCTTGGAAAAAAATAATATTTTTTATTTCACTGCTGATTGCTTTTTACATGTAGGCTTTTGGCTGACGATGGATTCTTGTGAATCTGAAATGACCTTGACTGACCTGCCACGTGAACTTCTGGCCGTGCATGTCTTCCGGTATCTCACTGCAATGGATCTCTGCGAACTTGCCTCATCCTGCCGACTCTTAAGAGAAATAACCAATGACGATGTCTTGTGGCGCCGTCTTTGTCAACGAAAAGGCTGGGAGCGCTACGGTACCACTCAAGACATTTGCAAGGAGGTACCAGTTGAACCCAGCGTTAATGGTCGCATCTACGAATTTTGGGACTCTTTCCCGCTCGATATTATTGTGACTGGTTCAGACTGGCCTGGACTGGTTAAGACGTGCAAATGGAAGGAGGTGTACATGAAAGCAGAACATCTGGAGGAAAATTTCTCGAGCGAACGTTACTGGGTGGATACATTAGAGTCTTGGGTGGGTCGAAAGGTGACCTTCCACAATGGTGATGCTCTTGATGCTAATGAACAACGTCTTTATAATTTGGCTGGTGAAGGAAACTGCTTAGCTGTGGGTATAAGTAACCAAACTTTACAAATCTGGGATCTGTCAAACGGGAAACGCCGACATATTATACAAGTGAACATCAGTTCCGATTGTAATGCTCTGAAGATGCAGGATGGCATCGTAGTTGCAGGTTGCATGGACAGTAAGATTCGCACCTTCTCTGCTGAGACTGGAGAGCAGCTTCAGTTTCTGACGGGCCATCGTCTCGCAGTACGTTGCGTTTTCTTCGATGGAGAAACTATTGTCAGTGTTGCTCAACCAAAAGTTAAGGGTGACGGAGAGCACACCGACAGTGATGTACGCGTCTGGAATGCTGAAGACGGTGCGTGTCGCTTTATCATCCGAAGTGACTCTCAAGACACTCACCTCGTTCACGCTGAGTATAAGGAAAGGATGGTAGCTTGTGCTTACAGTAACAAAACAATTCAAGTATGGAATGCATGCGACGGATGCTGCATACAGCGACTTGTTTGTGACATGAGCAATTTACTTACATGCCATCTCGGAAATGGTGTCATCATCGGCACTTCTGACGATTTCGTCGTGAAGATATGGGATCTTGTATCCCAAAGATGCCTGAAGACATTTGAAGTACCGTTCGATTACGAAGAGCGTCACCGTGCGTCCTTTGCTTTCAATGGCGAGCTTCTCGCTTGCATGTTTGGTTACCAGTTGATAGTGGTAAATCTTGATGGAAAACAGCTCGAACGTTTCCAATTGGCTAATCCCGTCTCTACACGCGGCAACAATTGTTTTCTTGGCAACAAGCTGCTGACGCTTTGTCAGGGTGGAATTGCAGCCTACTTTTTCAAGTGTTGTTTATGCGTGATCGGCCAGGAGTCCGGCGCAGGGAGTTCCGATGAAGTTGATTCGAACTGGAGTGCGCCAATGGGGGATTACTTTGGGGGAAGTGATTATTGGGGTTGGTCACCTTTTTGGATCAGTGAGACCAAAGTGGTCTGCGAGGACTTGGATGAAAATCATAGATCTCAAATAATTGTCCGACATTATTGGTGACAATGTATGACATTGCTTCGATTCTGCTCCAGTACAGAGGTACGGTCACATTAGTGATTACTGTCGTGTTAATCGTACCAGAGGAAGTCGTTCTCATTTATTTTATTTAAATTTGTAGTTTTAAACTAATTTGGTCCCAAAATAGTATTCTGCCGCATGTGACTTCGAAGTATGGTTACAGTGTAGTTATATTCTTGTAGCGTATAATGTAGGTGAGGTGTTGTTCATTAAGCATTAAGCTGGGTCGATAGAACATGACTGAAAATAAATTTTATGTAGGCTTAAGCAAATTGATCCTTAAACCCAGCTTATAAAAAGGGTTAGAGTTGCTAGTTTCATATGTATCTCAAATTGTTTTGGAAAAACAACGTATCATGAGGCGGAGATGATACGTTTGAGAAAACAGGCCAATGTTAGCTCAGCTATGGAATGTTAAGCAAATCCACAAGTTTACCGTAGCTTCTTATTTCGTAATCAGTTGATCTTGTGGTGGATATTTGGTTGCATTTTACAGAAAATAACCTCCAACTTCAGAGCACACCCTAGATCTTTACTCTCTGGCATTTATTCTCTTTTGTTGAAATTGAGGGAGCTCACTAACACATCCGTCTTCTAATTTTGAACAGCGCCCTCCGCGGTTTATCCCGTTGTCACCCTGGGGTGAGATGTTTATTCATTGCATAACATCAAAGAGAAATAATTTCATGTCGTTTTCCTTTGCTGCTTTAATGGGGCGTCAGTTTGTGACTTGTTGGTGCATGTGCATGCTGGTTAATGATAACAAGTGCACATAAGAAAAGTGAAATACATACAGTGTTCATTTTAACTAGTTCCAGACACTAATAAATCTTTTGAAGACATAAGAATGTGTATGAAATTTGAACAATTTAGTATTTTCCAAATAAAAACATTTATTAATGATGTAAGATCGAGCTGAGCAATAAAACCTCGTGGTTGGTGATTAATTTTTGACACGTACCTGAAGAATAATTACAGCTGAGTATGCATTGTAACTTTCTTTGACCTATAATGAAACCCGCGTTTCTGCTTTTCAAGTGAAAAGATCCATCATGGGAAACCAGGGCATGAAGTATTTTCCATTCCCGTCTGTTGTTGCTTGTTATCTTCGGTTATTTTCTCATTTTGTTGAAAGAGTTTTCGGATAAAGCAAATTATAGCGCGGGTCTGCATTTCGAGGGAAGAGGGAGTGACCATGTTAAAACTTCAGTTCTCTCCAACCCTTCATCTGCATAATGGGGGGCCTATATTATGGGCTGATACCGTGGATACTTGTTCAGTACCTACGCGCCCTTGAACACCATTTCCAATTAAAACAATATGGACCTTAGTTGATTGCCACGTGACAAAGTCTTTGAGTAAAGGTTGATGAGTTGGGTCGCCATGACAGTTGGCCGTGCATAATGTTGTAATCATTTAGTTTCATTTCCGTCTTTCCAAAAGGAATTTAACCTGGTCGATTACTGAGTTATAATCGGCTACATCAGGTGCAGAGAGTCTGCTTTGACACGACGTGTATTCGGGGGGATAGTTAAGGTGGTACTCGAACGTTTCGTGTGTTTTTGCCATTACGGAAACCAAAATATCTTGAAGCGTCCGTAACTATGCCGCATAGATCCTGTCATTATGGAGTACTGGAACCAGTACCGTAGTAATATTTTTGGACCTTTGATCAGTTCATCCTATTTGCGTATTATTTGATTCTCTTTTTTCAATAGATTGTTGGGAAGTCCGACAAACAAGTTGCACTCAGCCTTTGTTGTAATGAAGAAGAGGAGGGAGGAGCCCATGAAGCCCGTCCCCGGGTCAGAAAATGGGGAGATATATTCATCCATCCCGGAATTCACGTCCCATGAAAAGACAGATATTAATTCGACCCTGATATCTTATTGCTGTCTTTTCTTATGCCATGAATTCTTTGGAACAGCAAAAACCTTTCGTTGTTTACAAATGTGAGCCATAATGTGATTCTCCTGTTTGGTCTGATTTACATTGTAAATTATGATTGATTTTTCTACCTTCGAAAAACTTTTCTATTTCGTTGTTGGTTGGTTTTACATGCAGGCTTTTGGCTGACGATGGATTCTTGTGAATCTGAAATGACCTTGACTGACCTGCCATGCGAATTTCTGGTGCATGTGTTTCGCTGTCTCACTGCAAGGGATCTCTGCAAACTTGCCTCATCCAGCCGACTCTTAAGAGAAATAACCAATGACGATGTCTTGTGGCGCCGTCTTTGTCAACAAAAAGGATGGGAGCGCTACGGTACCACTCGAGACATTTGCAAGGAGGTACCGGTTAACGCCAGCGTCAATGCTCGGCTCCTTGAACTATGGGATCCCCCAACCTTCCCGATTGATGTTCTTGTAACTGGTTCAGACTGGCCTGGACTGGTGGAAACATGTAAATGGAAGGAAGTGTATATGAAAGCAAAACATCTTGAGGAAAATTTCTCGAACGAACGTTATTCTGTGGATACACTAGAGTCTTGGACGGGTCCCAAGAGGACATTCTACAACAGTGAGAACCTTGAGGCTCCGGAACAGTATATTTATAATTTGGCTGGTGAAGGAAACTGTTTAGCTGTCGGTATATGTAACAAAACCTTGCAAATCTGGGATTTATTCAGCGGGAAACGCCGACATATTATCCATGTGAACATTAGTTCCGATTGTAATGCTCTGAAGATGCAGGATGGCATCGTAGTTGCAGGTTGCTTGGACAGTAAGATTCGCACCTTCTCTGCTGAGACTGGAGCGCAGCTTCAGTTTCTGACGGGCCATCGTCTCGCAGTACGTTGCGTTTTCTTCGATGGAGAAACTATTGTCAGTGTTGCTCAACCAAACGTTAAGGGTGACGGAGAGCACACCGACAGTGATGTGCGCGTCTGGAATGCTGAAGACGGTGCGTGTCGCTTTATCATCCGAAGTGACTCTCAAGACACTTACCTCGTTCACGCTGAGTATAAGGAAAGGATGGTAGCTTGTGCTTACAGTAACAAAACAATTCAAGTATGGAATGCATGCGACGGTTGCTGCATACAGCGACTTGTTTGTGACGTGAACAATTTGCTTACATGCCATCTCGGAAATGGTGTCATCATCGGCACTTCTGACGATTTCGTTGTGAAGATATGGGGTCTGGTATCCCGAAGATGCCTGAAGACATTTGAAGTGCTGTTTGATCGACAGGAGCAACACCGTGTGTCTTTTGCTTTCAATGGTGAGCTTCTTGCTGGCATGTTGGGTCGCCAGTTGATAGTGACAAATCTTGATGGAGAACAACGAGAGCGTTTTGAATCTGTTTATCCCTTCTGTCCAGACGCCAGCAGCTGTTTCCTTGGTAACGAGCTGCTGACGGTTTGTGATGGTAAATGGTGGTTCAGGTATCGTCTATGGGCGATCGGCCAAGAAGAGTCAGGAGCGGAGGATTTCTCTGAAGTTGATTCGAACTCGAGTGAGCCAATGGATTATTACTTTGGGGGGAGTGATTTTTCGGGTTGGTCTCCTTTTTGGATGAGTGACACCAAAGTGGTCTGCGAGGACTTAGATGAAACAGACAGATCCCAGATAGTTGTCCGACATTATTGGTGACAATGTTGGATATGGTTTCGATTCTGCTCAAGTGTGGTGACAGTCGCATTGGTTTGTGAGCTGGGGATTCCCCATTATCATTAAGTCATTATAATGTAACCTTTAAACTCTGCTTGTGAGCAGGGCGGGAATAAGCCTTTTGCGAGTTAACTTTGACCCAAATCTGGTACAATGAGTTCTTTAAATTCACATGAACATAACAACTTGAATTCTCCATACCATACTAAAACCACTGTTGCTATACCATGATAACCACTTCCCAATCAAAACTCAGTTTCCATTCAGAGGCGGTTGCAACTGTCCAACGCTTTAGCGTCTACTTGCCAGAAACGTCACGGGGTAAACGTCACGCTCGACATGAGTTGCCATGGTGCCATGGTGTAGAAAGACTCAAAATAAATTATAGAAATAGATTTAACCCCCCCCCCACTCTGCACTGTCCATGTGACTTTATATAATTTGTTATCAATAGTCGCCATACCAACTTTGAGGAGTTCGACGTGGGGCATTTTGAAGTGTTAAAGGGTGTAAACTGGACAGTCGTTTGGGCGTATAATCAGCCTTTTTGTATCGTTGTTTTATGTTTAATATGGCGCATGTTTATTGCAGTGAATCGCTACGCTCTTCACTTGAAGTTGTACCACGCCTCACTCACTTGTGCACTGCACGTCACAGTCATGATTCTATTAATCAATAACAAAGATGTTAATAGTTGGAAAGAATAAACCGACTGAGCTAGTTCCGTCCGAGTTAATGCAAGGAGTTGCGATGAGAATTTGGACCAAAAATTACAAGACATGTGGCAAGCTACAAACGCCAACTACAGGGAGCTAATAAATACATTTTCCACCCTGAGTCCTGTTTTCATGAGCTGAGTCTCGCTGGATGGGCTTTTTGCCAAATGAATGTATGGTAAATAAGCCGTGTGCACGTGACCTGACCCCAAAATAGCTGAAGCCTAAATTTAACCGTAAATACACAGGCACATTATTACTGAAGACGTCATGGGTTGTGCGTACCATCAACATGTTCGCTCTTTTTGTTTACAATTGCATTGCTGAAAGTATTGTGATCCGGTTAGATCCGGGTTGTACTGCTAAAAATAAAAATGCTCAAAGAGTTTGAATGTCGGGGCTGTTATAAAATGGCAGTCAACCGTGCCTAGTTGCGGGGCTGTTTTGTCAACTGAGTTCACTTTGTATTTCCCCGGGGAATCGTCGGGGTCCTACTCCTAGATACCACAGCTCAGCCTGCTAAATATCCGCAGATGAATTCTTCGGCATGCATTTGTAAAGTGTGCTGAAATCGGCAAAAAAAAAAAAAGACAGCTGAAAAATTGCTACACGAAGTATACCGCAGGAAAAGCGTCGCAGAGGGATAGCGGGTTAGTGTAGTGGTTCTTTCCTCGCTTTGCACCAATGAGGCCCGGGTTCGAGTCCCTGTTTGGCCCAGGCTTTAAGTGCATTTGGTTTCCAGTCCATACTCGCTCTCGCAGGTTTTCTCCGGGTACTCCGGTTTCATCCTGCCTCTAAAACTGGACCTTCTTCCTGACTCCGTAATGTGATGCTGATTAATAAAGATTATGAATTACCGTATAGTTATTGGCGCGAACACCCTGAATGGCTTAAAAGCACCTTTGAAACAAAACAACAAGCATCGCAGAGAGCTGTGATATTTGTTGCCCGACTGTAATAGATGAATGGATTTTGCAGCGAAAGATGTAGCCTACACATAAAAATAGCATTGGGCTCGCTGGCTTGGCATTTATTGAACTTATAATGTACCGTACATTTGGAGTGATCGTTCAGATTTGTCGCAGCTTTAACTTCAAATTGTCTCTGATTAAATCAAATCATTGAACTAATTATCTTTAAAATTAGCCAAAGAAGGCCAAAATTGCAAACATTTACTCAATTTCAAACATTATGTCATAAGGCTATCAATTTTTACCTGATATTTGAACATAACTTCTCAGTCCTCTCGAACATCCGTTAAAATTCCATTGGATCCTTGTGGCACCCACACGAAAAAAAATTGTTGATTCATATCTGCTGTTGGAAATTTATTTGGACAAATTTTGAAATTTTATAATTTCCAGCTTAGGCCTACTACTCAGGTTCATAAACAATTTCTGAAGGGCATTCCCGGCCAATCACAGTGCTAAGAAGTGATGTAACGTCAGTGTAGGCGTGGCCAGTCTCAATTCTTCCCATCTCGATTCCCAACTCGATTGCCCGATCAAACAGCCAATCGTTTTCAACCCCATATCCTGTTGGGAAAAAATGTTCCATGGGTTGGCTGTCTCCTAACAAAATCAAGCATGCGTGTCGTAACTCAACACTACATAAAAAAGCGCAGCCTCTCTGTGTGTTCGGGTATTTTGCCTTGTTTGCGCAAACTGACAGACGTTCCAAGCGCGTTCAACTGAACACCGTTGACGGTGACAACTACACAGTGTTTTTCGGCATCGATATTGTAAGTTAATTACCTTTTATTTCTTCTCAGCTTAATTAAATTGCAAAACAAACAACGGCCAAAAGGGAATTTTCTCGTAGTCGTTACAAATCTGTACATATAGACCTATCGGTGTCGGTTTAGTCTCGGGCCCAGGGACAGTGGCAGGCCTTATAAGTAAGATAACTTGGGTACATTTTGCGGAAAAACCTAGGGGTTTCATTTTCTGGAGGGACACTTCATGGGTTTGGTTATGGTTGAAACACTGACCAGGACAGTCTATCACCAGATTTTTCCTTCTCTAATTTCTGAGCGCAGGGGGGGGCACATAACGGGGGAAGGTACAGGCCTCACGCGATGAGGGTGCGCCCCATTGGCTTTACTTATGCTCCTTAAAAGTCTGGAAACATTAGCAAAAATGGTTGCAAACAGTTAACCCTCTAAGACAGAAACTCGGGTACCTGGACATCAGGGCTGTCAGGACCCAGCTGAGTTTTTGGACATGAATAAATTCCTTCATGTTCATGTATTACTTTTCATCTTGGCAGACGTGTGGTACATCATGGCCACGGTAAAAATTCCTGGTGGATGGTCAGAGCCCAAGCCAGCAACTCCGCAGATCCAAGGATACGCCGACGAGGTAAGAATATGCTTTATGGTATTCATCGCGATCAACTTGGTTAAGCACAATCTGTGCCCGCACTTGCTTTGGCATTAAATTGTTTACCCTCCATCGTTTCATTTGCGTGATTGTTTATTTCTTCACAGGTGAAACCGCAGGTGGAAAGAAAGATCGGCAGAAATCTCGAAACTTATAAAGCCGTGCTGTACGCGGAGCAGGTGGTTGCAGGGAGGAACTATCTCATCAAGGTATGGACAGGGTATGAATTGAAGGAAGCAGCAAAAACTAGCGAAGGATAACAAAATAGCAACAAAAGTAGAAGAACCTGTCCAGAGACTGTCCACAAAGTGTCCAGGGATTGTTTGCGCATTTTAAGTTTTTTTCACAACGAGCTGTCACGCTTTCTTTCGTCCTTATAGATTGATACCGGAGGCCCAGGTACCAGTTACGTCCATGTTCTTCTTTTTGTAACCCTGCAAAACGTCGTGGAGTTCAGAGACGCCTGGGATGGACTTGGCAAGGACTCCCCTCTTGAACCTCCCAAGCAAACGACAACTTGACTCTATCAATCCAGTCTGTGACCTGTAAAGATCCCTTACTGTCACCTGCTTGGAATTACAGGTCACATTTACGCTCTTAGCTAGGAAACGCAATTTTATTCAGATATTTCGATAGAAAGCAAACCTTAAGTAACTAATAAATTATCAAGCCTCTTGATTTGCCCGATATTTTTTATTTCTGCTTTTATTAATTTAGAAGAATGAATATGGGTTCTCTATAAATAGGTTTTTTTTTTTCAAACTTTTTGGATCTTATGACAGATCTATTTAATACTTTCAGGTTAATGCAGCATTGCATGGTTGTGTCATTACTTTCACTTAAATGCCATTTAAAAAGGGTCCATGATCTGAATGTTTATATTTAGACATGTTTTGTGCAACATCCTTCTCCTCTCAAATGTATGAAAACTATTTGACATTAAAAAAAGTATTGTTCTTTGTTTTACCCGACAAAAGATGGCGCTGTTGCTGCGGTGTTATCAGAGCATCTCGTCTCTGGGTGTGACCAGAGCTGCATATGCGTGCTGGGGTGTGATAGTGCAGTCGTGCTCAATTGGTTTTGTTACTCAAATTGTGAACCCAAAATTTGCTCTTTGAAAAAAGTTGTCAGAATATTTGCTCTGTGTCTTTTTGTGACAAGCTGACCGAACAATTTATCTCTAAAGTACACAGAATTCACAACAGGAAAACAAAAAGGGAAAGTTCAGTGCAAAAATGTTGAACAAAGATTTCTGCCTTGGATGAGATCACACTTTGCTCATAAATATGCAAATTTGCATGGCCTTTGAAACTTTGAAACAAAATTCAAAAGAAGAACAAAATGACTGTAAATCCAAACTTGCAAATCGTGCCGAATAGGTCGCAAACTGAGGGAGCCTTACAAGAACTGCAAAGATGCATTAGATGGGACTTTTCCGAGGACACGCTAGAGAACAACATACTCAGAGAACCGGGCTGCATTTTCTTTTTAAAGTAAGCTGATTTCGTTATTTTAGCAATATCCTTTGATTAGGATGTAGTTCAGAATTTCAGACCTTTCACACAATTTTTAGGCGTGTTGTAAAAGTAAGCTGTGTATCGAAAATTTCGTCCAATTTTGTCTTTGTTCGAGTTCTGTGTGCTTTATATTCCTAAGTCATTGGCCTAGCTGAAGTTCCAGGCAAGGAGCGGGATGGGGAGGGGTCATTCACTTCGCATGAATGAAATTGGGTATGATAGAGCCACAAATCGATTATTCCGGCACTTTGTATAAGTGGGTCAAGTGGTCAGTGATGAGATCTCTACATTTACTTCGTTGGTTCCTTTGTCTGGGAATACATCCTGTATTTTCATATATGGGAAAATGGTTTTACTGCCATCTCTGACAGCAGACTATTTTTACGCCACATATGGAAGCTTCTCCGTTCCTGTTGAAAATTAATGTTCCTTCCATTTAAAGAAAAATATCCTCAATAGCCAGGATTGTTGCCTTTATACGAATCAACTGTTCCCAGAGTTCTGTGCAAAAAAAACCCCCAAAAACAAACAATTTTGGGAGGACTCGGAGGGCTAAAAGCCAATAAAACTCTGACTTGTTTTGTGACCGGTTCCTACAAAACTGCAAGTCACTACTCACTGATGAGCTAGAGTTGCAGCCTACTTTTCGTTCGCTTCAAAACGGATTTCAAACGGGGCCGGAATCATGCATGGAAAATGGACATGGCTAGGCTTTTAATGTTTACATTTTTTTATCTGTTCGCCTGCGTGGGTGTATAGTCCATTCTCGAGCAATAACTAAAGACCAATATCACGATAGTGTTACAATGTATATCTTTGGCCTTTGAGTCGTTTGAAATGATCGCCAATAAAAGCGTCGGTTGAGATGGTAGGCGAAGGTGGCCATAACTTGTGTGCTCTGGTCCGGTGTCTGGACTGCGCGAGAAGGCAACGTACCATGCATGCAACATGTCCACCGATAGAGGGCGTTCACATAGTATCCGGAACATAAACAGCACCTTGCAGTACTAGCGCTAGCGGCCCAAGATGTGAACCGGTGTACACCAGCTTTAGCCATGTTAGCTCTGGGATTCTTATCAAAATCTTCTCTGTCGTGCGACATTCCCCAACATTTCTCGACAGCGTATCTTGCTAAAATAAAAAACGGGATGCTCAAGCATGTCGAGTTGAGTGTGCTAGCACAAACACAGCTAGCCCCACTAGTGTGGCACGGACTCTCACTCCCGATCTATCCGGATGGATCGGGAGTGAGAGTCCGTGCCACACTAGTGGGCTAAAACACAGCCAGCCCCTCCGAGGACCAATCGCTGTTCCAACATTTTGTAGAGCGGTAGTAGGTCATCATGGATCTATCGCCCAATCTTCAACGTGGATGGGTTCAGCGCCGAGCCCGCCCACAGAGCGCCGATGGTGACTTCGTGGTGTTGACCTACAACATTCTAAACAAGGCCTTCTGTCCGGAGGGATTTTACCCGTACTGCCCAAGTGACTTGTTGGCCTCTGGCCGGAGACACCCACTGTTGATGAAGGAGATTGACCACCATAGGGATGCAGATGTCCTCTGCTTCCAAGAGGTAGGGCCTAATACGATAACGAACATTACTGTTGCACAGTGAAACACTTGCTAAAGTGTTACTTGTTGCCAATTTGTTCACGAGGTGCCTCAATCTCGGATGTTGGCCAAAGGCCTTGCTTTTGTGCGCATTCTTTTAGAAATTTGCCGCACACTGTCTTCGCCTATGCATGCACAGGGTTACAAGTAGCCATTATATGTTTGCTTTACTCATTTTGTACCAAACAACACGAGTCAGCAATTTCTGCTCAGAGGAAGCGTCCTAATGGAGCACGCCCTCTGTCATGTCTGTATGGAGCTCAGACGCTCGATGAGGAATACTTTACTTTGGGCCACGCACACACTAAGGGACTTTCCTTAGTTGTAAATCATTGAAATTTTGTGCCACGAAGTTTATGTTTCACAAAACAGTTGTTACCATTATCCATTTGAAATTGCCTCTACGCATTAGTGTCATTGGTTACACGTTTGTATCATGGGGCATTTAGAAGGCAATGAGCAGTTTCTGAATGTGAGATTAGAATGCCCAATTAAAGCCAGGCTATTGAGGAATGGTTATTAGCACGCATTCTGAAATAAAATGACAGGTGAACAGTCGCTACTACGAGGAAGTTCTCGAGCCTGACATGCGAAGCAGAGGGTATACCGGTTGTTACTTCATGAGGCCGGAGGATGAGACTACGAAGGTCGACATAAACTTGACAGACGGCAGTGCCACGTTTTACAGACAGGATCGTTTTCAACTGGTGAAGGAGGAGGCTGGTCATTTTAAACACTTGTTTCAACAGGTGAGAATCTTTCTTTCTTGAAAGGTTGATAGTTTCCATTGATACATCGAATGTGTCTTGTCTTGCAGAGGCCTGGCATGCTGTGAATACCTTGGTAAATGTCACATGCTGTTGACCGACATTTCTCTGTCTGCTTTGCCTGCCTGGTTCCGAGCCTCTGTTGCTAAGAAACTTGCGCCCTGTCTTGGTCCAGCTTGGGTCCCATCCTGGGACAATGCCGTGGTTTGCTCTTCTGTGATCTTCGATCTTATAGTACAGGAAGCGAAATGACACAAGTCATGCCATATTTATCCCACAGGAAATTAAACTCCGCCAATTTCAGCCAAGTGCGGCCAGTTCCCTGCTAGACCTGGCTGATAGTACAAGGGTGTATATTTTCACCCTGTTTCGTTGCTTGAAGACGAAGAATCTTGTTGCCATTGGAAACATTCATCTGACGTTCGAATTCTTCATTAGGATGGATTTGACAACACTGGAGGTAACTGCTCTCTGGCTCTTTCAGTGCAGTGCATGGTTATGATAAGACTCCTTAATTTTCTTTCTTTATTTCCTGTTTGATCAAAAAAATTTATTTGCTTGAAGAATGCAGTTACTTTTAGCCAGCAAAGTGGAACTACTGAGTGTACCTTTTACTATGAGGAGCACTTTGTTCCAGTTATTTCCGTTCAAAGTTTTGCGCGCTGGACAGAACTGCTTTGGTTTTGAACTACAAAAGCTGTGTCCAATTCTTACAAGTTTTCTTAAAGAAGATCAATATGTGCTTGCATTAAAGATTATCATTTTATATCAACCAACCTCATATCCGAAAGGTATAGGGGTGTTACCTTCTTTGCACGGTCCGAATAGTCACATTGTTCCAGTTACTGTTGCTTCACTGCAAGGAAATTAAGGGGGTTCATACAGACACGGTGTCTCGATGAGATCGTTCATCTTTCTCAGGAGATAGTACAAGTTGTCTTTATAATTCTGGTCAGTGCTGGTATTTTACACAACTTCAGTTCCCCCCCCCATGAGCTGCTACTTGTCTCCTGTTTTCTCAGGCCGCATTCGCTGTGAACAGACTGGTCCAGTTTGCCGGCGGTGTTGACGTGCCGCACATCTTGTGCGGTGACTTCAACCAGGAACCGCACCATCCGGGATACCAGCTGTTGCATGATGGGACTTTGAACGAAACCATGACGACGTACCTACACACCTTTGATTCTCGAGACTGCGAGCAGGTATGAGCTAGCAAGCTAAAGGAGTGTGCTACAGGAAAGCTGGGTAGATGGAAACTTGATGTCACTTGCTCATAAACGGTTTCTGCCGGTTCGGAACATTCCTGTCCAGATGAACATGGTTTCTGAAAACAACAAATGCATATGTATTTACGACTCTGAAAGGACAGAGTCTACAACCAGTCCCGCTGCAAAAAAAAAAACAAAAAAACAAAACACGGCCAGTTTGAGGCAGTGTCGTTGATGCATTTTCTGTTCATCCAATCTTGTGTATTATGACCCATTCTAATTAGATCCAGCAGTCTTCACCGAGATTGTTATTTTCCGAAAATATTGTCGTTTTTTTATGATAAATCCTTCAGGTGACGTCATTACTGGATGCTTTTCTGGGTTGTTTCAAGCACAACTCTGGGAGCTTGAAGAGTGCCTACAAAACAGTGGTGGTAGGTAGTCTGCTTATAGCAGAACGATATCAAAGCTGGTTCAGCTACTTGGCAAATTTGAAGCTTCGATGTCATCCCCACCTGTATATTTCTGCTATTTTTAGTAAAAGCTGGCAATTTTTTGACAAGGTCACACCTAATTTCCTCAGTCTTCTATTTGCGTTTGGTTTCCAGTCACGTACAAGCCAGACTTAAAACGGCAAACCATAGAAGAAACAGAAGCCATAACTGCGATGGCACCACGCCAGTGAATCGGCGGTACACACGCTTTACATGCCTCTTGGACCATTCAGCTGCTGCACGTGTGTGCGTCAAGTTTTGGCGCGCTCGCGTGGGTGTGCAGGTGTCACTGCACTTTTCCTCGGATTAACCTATAAACTTTAAGGAATAATAATTTGTGGTAGTAATGCACTATGGCAGCCTTGCATTGAAGCTCTGCAACTTTGAGGTGGTACAATTTTGGGAAGTGTCACTGGTTTTTGCCTGTAGCTCAGAATGCAACTTACGTAGGCCTTCATGAGAGTGGCTTAGCGAGCGATGAACCGTATCAACACCAAGAAGTTCAGACTTGAACTGCGCAGATGACGTGTATAGCCAGTGTCGTTTGCTTTGCTCAGTGCTAGTCTGTTTTGCGATTTTTTTTTTTTATACAGGGACATGAGGTGCCATTTTCCGACTACGAAGATAACTCGGAGTATATCAGACGACCAAAGACCGATCAAAAAAGTGAAGCAGTTCAGGCGCTGTTTGATGGCACATCCACACATCTAAAGGTATATAGGCCTGTACTTTAAGAAAAATCTCAAATAGTGGGTGATATGTTGCCCAACGCTGGTCTAAATATTAACTGCTTATTCTTACCAAGTTTGTTGCTCAAATGTTGATGATAAACAACAAATAGTCTGATTTTGTCAATTATTTTTTAAAAATAGATCTGTATTCAGGCTTTTTAAAAATCAATATCTCTATAAAATGTGAAAGTTTTCGCAAAGTTTCTTGCTGTTTGGTAATAATTTTTATTAAAAGCAATTATTCTTTGTGAATTAAAAGAAAATTATTTGGCCTGCCTGCCTGCCCTTTATTGACAGGTTCGTAAGACCGATCCAGAAGCCTACGCATCTCAGAAATTTGTGGCAGCCTTGGACTACGTGTGGTTCAGCTCCAACACACTGCACTGTGACGGTGTTCTTGAGATGGTCGACGAAGAGCTGATTGTGCCCTTCCACGCCTGTCCCAATGCAGCTTTCCCTTCCGATCATCTGCCTATTAAGACCAGGCTTGCTTTCATCAAGGGTTCTGGCAAGCCAAGGCTGAACTCTGCCTTGTAGTGGTTGCAGGAGAACCATGCTAAGCTCTGCTTATTTCCTGGGAACCAGTGTTGTAGTCGAGACCACTTAAGACCTTCACAAGACCACACAAGACCAACACAAGACCTCTAGTCTGAATTCAAGCCACAAGCTATTCAAACGAACTGCAACAAAAGCATTCCTTTGTCATTGTTCACACTGTTGCTTGTGACAGGTCTTGTGACTAGTCTTGTGTCTGGTCTTGTGTCTGGTCCTGTGATGGTCTCAACTACAACACTGCTGGGAACTTGGGGTTAGTTGCACGAAACTGCCAGTGCCGAGGGATTTCATTTTACAGTGTACTGTTCAAAAAATTGGCAATGGAAGCGGAAACAGGTAGCTGAAAGTCCATGTAATGACTTGTCTTTTGAATTACCACTCTGTTCTCATTCCAAAGAAAGTTTTTACAATAAATTAGTAAAATTTGGTCCAGCTCTGTTCAACCAAAGTTGAAACTCGGTTCATTTTCCATTGAAAGCTAATGATGTGAAAAGTATAATATTTACCATCAGAGCAGAGTAGACACGAAGCATGAAAGGCCAAGCAGGTGTTTTAGTAGGCATTCGACAACTGTGATTGGACAGACCATGCGCGCGCGTATAGTACTATTTTTCAATGACCTCTGGCGTGGTTCAATTTTGGCATGGGCTCTTGAATAACTTAACTTGCTTAATATTACCGACCAGATTATGATCTAAACGTCTGTATTTCTTTCAGAGAGATTTTTAACAAACATTCTTAAATCACAAAGAATACAAAACTTAGACATATAATATTCCATTAATTACAGCGTAAGTATTATGCCCCCAAACCCAAGAGCATTTCGATTTTCAAGCTGTAATCTGAAAGTAATTTTTAATTTTTTTTTTAAAGATTTTGGTACGAGCAATGCTGCAGTTATTTTCGTCTAGTCCGGACTAGTCTCTCTGTCCAGGAGGCTCTGTACTTTAGAGATGTAGATCCTGGCCATGTCAAGTTTCTTGTTGAGCTGATTTGCCTGGTGTTGGAGTTTAACACGTTTAGATGTTGACGGTGAAGTTGCTGGCTTTTTTCTGGTGAGAGCAAGGCACATTATACAAACCAAAAGAAAAGGGGTTCAATATATTTCAAAGTCTAATTTTATTAGATTAATTTGCAACGAAGATCACTTTAAATCATGCAATTTTTATTTCTCCTGTAAGGACCATAATAATTGTCTACTGAAACATACTTATCTTCAGTTTCATGACCATTTGCCTCTCTCTGGGTCTGCGCGCAGCTAGGGCTGTGATTGGAGCAAGGGTCGCGAAGACGTTTTTTTGTACGCGCGGTCCTTTGTTGTGACCGTGACGTCTTTGGTAACTGTGACGTAAGTGGAATCACAACTTCGTCCCTCGGTGACTTTTTTGGATCATCTTCTCACAAAAAGTGATTGATAAACAATAATTTATTTTACATTGGCGTGTAAAAATGAAGTAATACCATTTATTCGTTTAAAACGTACGTACGGGTTAAAATGAACCATTATTTTGAAAATGGACTGGCCTTTTGAAGAGTGGAATTTTTTAATTGTATAATTTAGCAAAAAACAAGATGCGAAATAAAGAGGTGATGAGACCTTTACCACATGTCATCCTTTTCATGGTCGGTGTCATCGTAATAGATACGTCTTGGACAATAAGGCAGACACGACAAAACATGGACGAGTATTGTACATGATTGATTAGCGAGAAAACCACCAAACTCACCCGCCCATTCCAACGGATCTGCGGGTGCCTCGTCTCTGTTCCCGGTCGCGGCTTCGCTCACCCCGCGTAGTTGGGCTGCGCTCTGGATTGCGTAGTTGACTATCTGCCTGGCCGATGTATCCAAGCGTCTCCGGATACCTGCCTGACTGTACCGGATGACGCAAACAAGGAGCAAGGCGGATAGCTCCTGAGTTGTTAGAATCCAATTGATGGCATTCGTCTGTAGCATCTGATTCAATTCCTCAGCTGATAAAAGATGAAATCGGCAGAGGTTATAACTCCCATTTGATCCTATTCACCTTGATTGGTTATTAATCATTGAGTTCGAAAAACTTCCGTTTGCGTGCTAATTCAGTGGAACACTGAATTCACTTCATGAATTATCGATTAGATACTAAGTCGCTTTTAGTCGTCCACTTAATCTGAAAAATGACTGGCTTTAAAACTACGCACAGGTTAAATTAATGTTTGATTTGCTGATTTCTTCAATAATATTTAATTCTTATGTTAGCTCGATATAGGAAAAGACACTTTGGAAAATTGTAAACAGTGGCAGCAGCGTAGATTTTTAATAAAAAAACAATGTTGTGAAAGTATTGCCGACTTTTTAAACAAGCCTTAGGTTTATTTTTTTATTAAAGATTTTTGCAGGGCGGGATTTAATGAATTCTGACAAACTCTCCAGAGAAACTTACCTTTTTTCCTTTCAGCAGCACCTTCAACAATACATATAATTGGCGTGTTTACATTTGGTCCAAATCTTTTCGCGGTAAGGAGAAAGGAAAAGAAAGGGTGAAACCTGGTGCGGTAAAAAATCTCAATTTTTATTGCACGTGTTAAGTGAAATTTATCTAACCTCACAAAGTGTAATTACCTTTAGTTCTTTCCTTGCGTTACTAAATGCACTGTGACCGTACGTGTGCTTGTGTTTTTTTTTATTCTGAATCTAGTATGTAATTGAAAAGGACTGGTATTATTTCCAATGTACTTCATTCGATTTATCATCATAATAAGAAGAATAATTGACATTTATAAAGCGCCATCAGTCATGTACGCACCTAAAGCGTTGTATCCATGCGCGACAGACCCCTTGGTATATCTTGATTGCATCCGGGAGAAGAAAAATAGCCCTTAGGTGGTATTTGTCGGTGACGCCATACGGATTTAACAAGGTGGGTACCTGCAAGATGACAGCAACAATTTCTTGAAAAATGTGTTAAGGACAGAGGAAAACAGCCACCTCGCTGGTAAAATGAGATTATGAAAGTGATGATGTCACGAGTAAGGAGACAGAACCGATCGGATGAAGACTAAATTCTGGGAAATGTATTTCGTACAGTTGAACGGGGCAGTGAATTGTTACAAAAATTAGTTCTTAAGAATATCACTCCGCTGCGTGGAGAGTTATGGTGGTGAGAGGAAAATGCGAGATATAAGGCGTCGCGTAGGCGGAATTGCCGTCTACCGTGAATTACCGCATACCGACAGACGATTACATTCTCTTTTCTATGCATGTTATGCTTAATACAATTCAGTTGTAGGGTTTCCCAGAGTAATTTCTCCACTAAGGGAGTTTGAATCACTGTTTTTTTATCCCACAACTCGTCCATTAGATTATATTAACAGTAAGATTGTCAAGATTCCTATTAAAGGTATATTATGCGTAGCTCTAACTTATGGAGTGTGAATAAACAGTGCACGTCTGTCGTTAGACCCTCCCAATGCTGTAAGCAGTTGTGTGTTTTAAGAATCATAAATACTGGAGAATAAGATACTAATAGCCTTTCACGCAAGAATAGAGACAATCGGTAGAGATGGAATACTCACTCGTAAAAGTTTGCAGTTCCTGATCTTTGATACTTCTCGCTCTAACGTCTGCCAAGCTGCACTGTCTCCAACAGCAACGACGTTATAATCCGCAAAGTTATTTGACATAATTTATGAATCATAACACACCAAGTACATGAATAGCATGAATAATTCCAACACCATTGTTTATAATGTACACATTTAACTGCAGATGTTTGTCTTCATTGAACTGACGAAAGAAGGAATAATACGGTGTAACTTGATCCCTGCTTGTTCTTCAACTAAGTGACAATAATATCCTGTTTCGTTGTATTTATTTTGTATTAGTTTTTTTCAAGCGTCAACAAGAAAGGTATTTTTTCCTGCCTCAGTGATGTCACAATGCGTTCGACAGGGTGACGCTTATGTGCGCAGCGCGGCACGCGTAAAGAAAAGAGGGCGGTATATTTATTAGTCAATAGAGGGCGCTACATAAAAAGGAGTCCCTCGTGTTTCCCAACTCTGTACAAGTTCCTGCAAGATTGTCTGCCCAAAATGAGCCTTCCGGCCTTCATTGATGTTGCTGAATCAGAACAGGTAAGCACTGACCATGTCTTCGTCTGAATTTGATGTTAAGAAATTACCACGATGAGTTCATATGAAACAATGTCCATTTTTAAGTCATGTCATTTTTTTCACGAAATGAGTGCAGCTTGGACAGCCGTGATGGTAAGACGTGGCTTAGGTAAACACTGGCGAAGGTTAAGTTCCCCCACGTCCTGAGTTTTCACCGTCTTAAATTTTCGATATCTTTATCGATTAGGGCCTAATATCCTATCGGCTATACCAGGCAAAATATGGGACGGAGGGGTACCCCCCCTTACCTGTCCAATCCCCATACACACTCTAGACTATTGTTGCCTAACACATCCCCCCAGGAGTCTGTACAGAATTCCTGAGATTCGGATCAAACAATGACCAACACAAAGGTGGGGGGGGGGGTATGTCCGTCCCATATCTTGCTTCAAATGTAATATCCCCAAGAATTTTCTTAAACCAAACAGAATTCGGCTGTCTGTCAGTTGGTTTTTCTTTCTTAAAGTGAACTTTTCTGGACATGTTTTTGCTTTCTGGAGACTTATGGGTCACTGAAGGGAATAATTACTGGCGTCCTTAAATGGAACTCTTTCCTTAGTTTAATTTTAATTATTTATTATTTGTTTAATTTAATTATTTGATTTTTTGGGGGCGCTCTTTTTGGGGGCATAGCTTTCAAGGGCTGCTCTTTTGTCCACCCTTGCATCAATGTCATATTAATTATTTGTCATAACTGTTTCATTTTATTGGTGATGTTTTTGTCTATTGTTTTGCCTAATTGTGGAATTTCAAGTGTAATTGCAAACCGTGTTCCTATTATAGAATGGAGAAGTCATTTTTGACTCACCTAAGTAGATTGAAGTGACTCCCTGCAAAGATCTGCAGTATAAATTTTGTGGAAAGAGGGAATGCTTTTGGCTTTTGAGGGAAATATTTGGGGTAAAAACTATTTTTTTGACAACTGAATCTTGACAATTTGGAGTTGGATTATTTCTCTTCCAGGCCAGTGAGCTTAGGGTATTCTTGAAAGCCCAAGGTGCTGAAATATCCGAGGAGACGTCTGAACAAGGCATCCATGATGACCTGGAGAAGATTATCCAAGCGGCAAATGTCATCTGGAAACTCTCTGACCCGGCAGGTAAGAAGACACTCCCCCACAAAAAGCAAACAAACAAAAGCAGTGAGTTGGCTCCAATGTGTGTGGATACCAACAGAGATTCAGATTTCACATTGGTCAACATCTAAAACCAGCTACGGCTGAGAGTTGTGCACACCTCTATGGGAAGTAGTTACAGCCATTAGGAAGTGGCTTTCATTGGCACATGTGTTGTTATCAGCTGTAGCCACGTCATTCATGTTAGGCTTTGTCCAAATCAACTGCCTATAGCTAAGAGTAACAAACACTTCTACAGACTTCGATCATGGGGCAACCAGCTTGCTTTCCCTAGTTGCCTACCATTAAATGCAATGTAACCAAACTGAAGCTGGAAGGCAAAGCAGGAGTGTGTTCCCTTTTATCAATAGTTGCAGTCATATTTCTCTTGCCAAGGGGCTACAGGGAACCAGATAAACATGGCAGAATCACGATAAAGGTCCATGGGAAGTGGCAGTCACCGCTAGCTAGTGACTTGCATAGGCACCCGTGCTATTTTGAGACACAGGCAAGGTATTCGGACACACCCTGTGCCTCATTGAGTGCTTGTTTCCTCGTTGGTGCCTGCAGAAATTGAGGGCATCTTCAACAGCATCCTGTCACTCCTCATCTACCAGCGTCCGGATCACCTGGAGAATCTGGCCAAGATGCTCAGCGACCATTTAGTGACAGAGGGAACGGAAGAACATGCCCCGCTGAAGCTACGGGTGTAAGTTGGCCAGGAATGGGGCCTTTGTACTTTCCCAGGATTTTTTGTTGAGATTTGGAAGATTGGATGAAATAAGAGCTCAGCCACTGTTGAAGACAGTGATTATCATGAAGATTATCGTGGACGAAAGCTGTAAATACATGTACTTGGACTCATGAAAGTGCTTTTGCTGGATTTGACTGCAACACTTTCTGTTTTCAGGCTTCTTCGCCCTTCATTTCTGCTTATTTTGCCATTTGAAACCTCCCGTCCTTAAGGTTTTCAAGTGCGAGAACACTCTCTGAGCAAACTGTAACAGAGAGGCTACTGTGGCTTTCCAAATGACGTTCTAGCCCCAATTGCATTCAGCCCCTAAGTCACTTTGTCTTGTGGTCCCCTCCGCAGTCTCAATAACTTATTCTACGGGGTGGGCGTGGAGAACGTCTTGTGCCATCACATCTTCTGTTGCATGCTGAAAGTCGCCGCCCAAGGCAAGAGCACAGGCAACGTTGAGACAGAGCTAGAAATCGTAAGATGATGATTACCAATCTCCATTTCCTTTTAATTCAGTGACACGTTTTACTTTGGTCCCAAATGTCTCCCAAAATACTGTTGGTGTCTACCTGCTAATGTGTACAGACCACTTAACTCTTACATCGGGTTATTGGCGTAAATCTTGACCACAACATAATACAACACCCATTCCGTTTGTGGTTTTTCTGGCTACAGAGTTCTTCAAACTGCCAGCCAAAATTTCAGAGTAACTCTAGAAGGACCTTTCCCTAAAACTCTGCCTCATTATTGGCACATGGACAATTTGGGGTGACCTATGATTTGTTATTTCTTGCATTTTTAGGTCAAGAAATGGACCAAGAAGTGGGAGTTGAACAGGGACCAGATGATCGTTGTTCTGAGACTGCTCTACGAAGCACTCAAAGAAAGTAAAAAGAGGTACTGTTGAATCCTGTCAGCTCAGGGAAGGCTGAATTGTGTGTCGCCTTCTCACCAGACCTGCCAACCAAAGGAGTTTGTTAATACAGAATATAACTGCTTAGTTTGAACAGGCTAAGAGTCAAAACATCATGCATTCTACATACATGTACTTCTTTTGACTGGGTCCTCTACTCAGCAAATGAATGTGCTGTACTACAGTTTCAGTTTTAAAAGCCATATGAAATTGGGCCAATAAGAAGCATACTGGACTGGATGAACTTTCCACAGAATGGGAACAAAAAGTCCATCATCATGCGGTCTGCATCAGCCTACACAGTGTACCTGTTCAGAGGGTTTGCATGGCTGCCATCTTACAGGCCAGTTCTTCTGTTCCACAGGGAATGCACAAAGGAGGCTTCTCTGTGGAACAAAAACTGCCCTGCAAGATGGCTACCACGCAAAGCCTCCATAGTCACACAGTCGTAATATTGCAAAATCTGTACTATGATGGGCTCTGTGTTCCACATCTGCCATCTCTTACAACTACATTGTGAATTGCATGTGTGGCACCTGCATTTATTACTTTCCTTGTTCAAGGGCTGAAATTGTGGACCTGCTCGGCACGTAGAATAGCTATAAGCTATACTGCACAAGGTACTTTGTCTTTAGCTGTGTAAAAGATGCCCAAGTTCAGCGTGAAGATGGCTAGTTATCACCGATCCTGTCCTTGCAAAAAGTGACCAACTTCTACCCCACTGTTGCCTTTATTTTTTCGTTTTGGTGCAGTGAGGCGTCCAACAAAGTCATGGTGGAGCTCTTGGGAACCTACACAGAGGACAACGCCTCGCAAGCCCGTGACGAGGCGCAGCGGTGCATCGTCAATACCCTGGCAGACCCCAAGGCCTTCCTCTTTGATCACCTGCTCACCCTCAGGCCGGTCAGGTTCTTGGAAGGAGAGCTGATTCATGAGGTAAACAGTGGTCCATTTCCCAAACCACGGTTTTTTTTAAATTTTGGTTTTTCCATATATATATACATATATTTTTTTTAATATCAAAACCACTTAATTAAGTCTGTGACATTTGAACTAAGTAAGATCATGGTGTTCTCTCTCTCTGGGTGACTGACAGTCCGTTCAGCGTTCCTCTTGCAAAACACAACCCTGAGCTGAAAACTCAAAGTCGTACTGAAGATGGAGACAAACAGAGATTTTGAAAAAGGCTAGAAAGCGTGTCCTATATAGCTTCATAGGAGAAAGCAATGCTCAACAACTTTGTATGCTTGATATAAAAATGTCAGTGGAAAACAGGTCATCTCTATCCCACTTTCCTTGCCCCTGAAGGAGCTAGCCTTGTTCTGTCTGTTCTTCTTGCCACTGTATGTACGCCTGTAACATGAAAGTTCCTTATCTTAGTCTTCAATGTCACCGTTGTCTTTTCAGCTGTTGAACATCTTTGTGTCGGGAAAGCTCGATGACTACATTGAGTTCTTCAAAAACAATCAAGACTTCATCAAGACACTGGGTAAGAGTTCACAGATTTTGGACTCAAAGCCAACGGAGATGTGAACGCAAATATTGATCGAACTAAAATAAAACCTGACTTAAATGTTACTGGCTTTGTTTTCTAATTGTCACCTGCGGTGATGTTTCTTTGAACTTCTTCCCTCTACACTGTCAGGTCTGTCACATGACCAAAACATGCAGAAAATGCGCGTCTTGACGTTCGTGAGCATGGCCATTGAGCAGAAAGAGATCCCGTTCTCAACAATCGAGAGTGAGCTCAAGATTACATCCGAGGAAGTAGAAGGATTTATCATTAACGGTAAGGAGTATCGGAGAGAAAGTTTATGTCTGAAAAAAAATTGTATTAAACAAAGTGTTCAAGACACCTGCATATTTACACGTTGTACTATCGTTATGCTTGTTGAAGAAGGTTACTTCTCAATGCCATTCATCTCCATAGTTGTCAAAACCAAAATGGTAAGAGCAAGAATCGACCAGCTGCAAAGGAAAGTGACGATCAGGTGAGTTTCCCAGTCGCGTCTTGTTTAGAATATTTTGGGACATTTTCTGTGTCAATTTTTATCATTTGTTTCACAGATATGATTTGCTGCTTTTGTTGGGCTGATAAAAATTTGAGAGATTTGGTTTGAGAGATTTTGAGTCATTTGTGTGCTGTGTACCAATTGTTATTATTTTTTGGGGGGGGGGCCCTCAGTCAATCAGTCTATGACAAGGATTGCTGGTGCCCACCCATTTTCCATTTGAAATGATAGACATTACTTATGAAAGGGAACCGGTGAAATCTCACCTCGGATTGGGATAGTTTTACAAAGGTTTGAACGCAGCAATTTTGATGTGATGTTTCTTGACGTCCCCAGTTACGTGACATTACGCACTTTTGGCAAGCAGCAGTGGCAACAGTTGAGGGAACATCTCGTGGAATGGCAGAAGAACCTCGGACTGGTCCAAACACGGATGGAGAATATCGTACCCATCCCCATCTCATGAATGGTACAACCCTGCCCAGAGTCAAAGCCTTATCACATCGCAGATAGAGAACAGTCTACCTTTCCCTATTCTGTGAATGGTACAACCCTATCTCAGCCTTTATAGAGTACCGAAGTGAATATGTCACGCACAGCTGTGTGTCAAAGGAATTAGCTCGAGAACCAGCACGTGAACCAACACGGGCGCGTAATCCATTCGTTTGCACTACACTTCCTGGTTCAAATGACGTCACACTTCGGTACTCTGTATTCAATTACTGTTTCATAGTGTTGGAGCTTTGTAGGTGACAAACCTCAAAGATGTCGCTAAAGCTCTCACAACCCAGCACTAATGCACAAGGTTTCAGGGCCTCACAGATTCAATATCCACCCTCAGTTCTGAACTAATCTAGATTTGGTCAGTTCTCTTTTCCTTGATCTCTTTTCTCCTCTGTACATGGTTTTCTTTCAATCCTGTGCCTCCCTTTGTATCTCAACCTTGTTTCACGCAGTATTCTGTGAGGTGCGGTATCTTTAGAAATGCATACTTTCTCTGAATGGTTGTAAACAATTTCCTTGCTTTTTGGAAAGTGAGGTTGAGGTTGAAGAGCCTTCAGGCTGCAGTACTGAAAATGCAACCACTGCTGCTGTCGACTCGTGTGAGGCACAGCAACTCCACACATTGTACATGATACTAAAATGCCTCAAATCACAGTTAGCTTCGAGAAATTGGAGTAAAATTCACTCTCCGTTTAACCTTAACTGCAGACAAGTTTCTTTTTACCATGTCGTTTCTGCTAAGCTCTACAGGAGTGCAAACCAGCCTAGAACATTTTTACAATAGCACCTAATGTGAGGTTAATTCCTATCGTATAGGCTCTTGAGTTATTTGACAGTGTCTCAATATGTAATAAATCTTAATGACGGTCAATAAATTGGAAAGTCATGACACATTTGTTCTCCATTATTTCTTTATTTTTACACGTTCATAGTATTTACATAAATTTGGGATGCATTTGAAACGTCAGACATTTCCAATTTAAACAGGAAGTGAGAAAAATATTTCAAGCTGAAGAACACACCTGAAAACATGGCTAGATCTCACTGAAATACTCAACTTTTTCAGAAGGACAAATTAGAGTTGACTTGTGAAGTTACAGATGTAGAAAAAGTATGAAGCATTTTATGTATAAACTGCCTTTCTTGCTTGCATAAAAGTTACTTTGTTGAAGGATGGAATTTGGAAATGGAAGAACATTCAATAACTTGTTTCCCTTGTAGAAAAATCAAAGTTTGAAGATTACAATTTGTTGCAATCTTTCATATTTAGTTTAGATGTGGAGAGACAAAAAAATGAGCACCAAACCCAACCCAACAGTTGACCAGTCTGTAGACTTGACCATCATGAAAGTTGGCTTCCATAGAGCTATGGCTACATCCTTTGCTGACTTGTGCCTGCAGGTTTGCAAGTAGAGAAGACCTGGTCCCAGCTCTAGACACAAGCTTTGGACTCTGCTTCAAGTCTGCAGCTGAATCGAACTTTCAAATCTCCTGACATTAGATTTGCATAACTTTTTTCCCTGAAAGAGGGTAATTTCCTGTTTTAGTAGTAAAGGCTAAGGTAGGCTTCCCGTATGGCAAACTTCCGCTTGTCTTTGTATGTCATGAGACGGCTCTTGGTGGTCGTTCCTTTGCAATCGTCAGGAAGGAGGACCGAGTCGTCTGGTTGGATCTTTAGGAGCTGAGGACCCCCGAAGGTCCCGTGGAAGGCTACCTTACGGTTCCTAGGAATGTTGTGCTCGTAGCTTCCGGGACTGTGGGTTTAGGAAGAAATTGAAGAGATTTGACGTTCATAGGATTTCAGGCCATTGGTTTGATAAACTTTAATCCTTACAAAACCCTGGGCAAGTGAAATTGGACATGGTAAAAATTTCATTGTATTCATGATTGTCTATTTCTCTGTAAACTAATGTGGCTTTGCCCTCAACTGTTACGACTTAGCAACGACCCCTTTGCACATAAAATGCCACAGTCAACGGGAAACGTTTGTACATGTAGCTGGTTTTGTTTCAAGTCTACTGGATGACTTGTGATGGACTTGTGAACAAAACCCAAACTGAAACTTACCCAGGCGTCAGCTCAGGGTCGACTGTGTTTCGGTAGAATCTGTTGGCACCAACGTGAAAGGGCTTCTTGGAGGTGTCAAATTGGATAGGGTCAGTGTGCTTAGTCTGATAGGCTGTTGGGCATGGTGTGACCGTCTGCAAAGAAGGAAAATCATAGTTGCAACTCATTTCTACTTGCCAAAAAGTATCTTGGAGAATTTGTAGAAGTTTACTGGGCAGTCTTTTGTAGTGGTGTGGAAAAATTGACTAAATTCTGGCACTGTTTTACAAAAACCAAATTAACTTTCTAAAATGCACCTTCCAGTGGTCATCTGGAAACACTGTCCAGAGCAGGAGCCCACTCCATCTTAAGCTGAACCATTCCGATTAAGATCGGCAGTTTCTGGCGGATTTCAAGAGATTTGACATAAAAACTCACCTGAAATTCTTTTCTGAATCTGGGTCCAGTCCTTGCGCCCATCGTGTAGCCTTTGGAGCTGGTCACTTGCTTGTCGATATCATACAGAAATGTGGTTTTCTGTGAGGAAAAAATTAGCAGCATTGAAATTGTGCGCCAATGAAAAGTGGCCATGTGAGAGAAACGCACAGTCTTTTTAAACATTTTGAGCCACAGATTTTAACTCTGACCTCATCATTGTCGTAGCTACAGGGAGCTCTGTGGGGAGCGGTCTCCAGTCCCATCCCAGCTCCCATCCGATTCTGTGGAATCTTTCCTGGGAACAGCGGCCTGTCCGTTGTCGTCCCAAAGGAGACATTACTCTTCTTCTCTTTACCAAGAAGAGCTGCAAAGCCAAAGGAGAAAAATAATGAAAGGAAATTGAGATCACAGTAGAGTTACGGCCTAGTACTAGTACTTAGTAGTAGCCTTGTCCTGTCAAAGACTGCATTAAATTCACAAGAAAAAGTAAATGAAATTGAAACCAGAGTATCATGTTGACATGGTTGCCTTTTAATAACGCTAGGCCCCTCGCTGTACTGTTGGGCCAAGGCCTATATGTTTTTGTTCATAATCCGGGCTCAGCAGTAGGCCCTAGGCCTAATTATTTTCACGGAAATAGAACTTTAAAGACAATCATTTCTGAAATGAAATAGTGCTCATGGCCCACTTGCAGAAAAGGCTTATTTGCTGTTGGTTTAACTCGCTTGACAAATTTTGGCGTTAATTGGTGTTGAATTTTGGCTTTAATCCCTACCGACACGAACTTGAGTCTGCAGCTTCTCATACGCTCAGTGTAAGTCATGTCAACGTAGGCCTACTACTTTTACTGGGCCTAACATTTTTAAATTCACGACCATCGTGATGACGCAAAAAAGTAAAATTCATTGTCTACTCACCGTCTAACGATGGCAAAGTCGTTGCCATGTTGGAATGTATATGTATTAAATGGTTTGTAAATAGATCTTTATCCAATCTATCAGAACTAAGTTGAATACTTGAGTTTACGAACTGGATTTTGTATACGTACGGTACGAGTCCACGATGCATGTACATATGTACGACGAAATTGTGTATGTAGGACATAGATGGCGTTTATGCTGTTGTCATGGTGACAAGAAAAGTGCTACAAAGTTAAATTCTGGCTGATTTCCAGCACGATTGCGGATCCTTAAGGTTAATTAACTTATAAAGAATTAGTAAAAATACAAAATATTGTGATTCAGATGGGCACATGTGAAAAAAAGGCAATTTCTTGTGACAATGAGTCTGGCTAACAAAACTGAATACTTTGGGTCAATAGAGGGCGCTTTTCTTTGAAGCTCGCCAAAACAAAACCACGGAGGGCGCTGCAATATTAATGTACATCGTGACATTAATGTTGTCGTAGTTGCCCCCGCCGATCTTCTGTTTTTATTTTCAAGTACGCCTTTTCACAATTTTCCCTTTATTGTGTGGCCTATGGATGGGGAACTGTTCTTGTAAGGAGTAGGACAGGTACATAAGAGCTGTAAAAATGTCTAACTTAGCACTGAAATCAGTCATGATACTCGATAGTTTTGCAAGAAGAGACATGATCGATGATGAATGGTGACATGAATTTTTGATGCGCTGATGACAGCGCCACACACAACTCTGAGGCTAACGTTAATAGTCACTGACCATGCTGATGTTGGGCGCAATTGGTCCATCTGCCATGTCTGCACGATCGCCCATTTGCACTGCGCCGTTGATCAATGCTGTATGACGAGATCTCTGACTTTACAATGTATACCCCGTCCCCCCTTTTCATGCTTTTAAAAACAAGAGAAAGAGTTCCAGTAATTATTTCGGAAAAAAATGTTGCATCCTGACTCCACTTCAACAGTTGTGTACAAAGTCGCGGGAGCGAAGAGAATTTTCTAAGTATTTCCTAACAACATCAGTAAATGTTTCTCTATCCAGAATTTGTGTCTTTCCAGCATTTCTGTATTGACTGACTTTTATTATTGAGATGATATATGATGAGAAAAGTGGAGTCAGGATGCAACATTTTTCCATTATTCTCAACAAACATGACTTATTCACTTGCCATTTAGGAGGGAAAACCCAAGTTGTTTTCTGAGATTTCCAAAACCTCCTGAACTTTTCCGACCAGTCTCAAAGGGTTTGTGCTCAGGGTTTGAAGTGGCATCTGCACTCGGCAGATGGAACTCTTTCCTATAACAACCTTCCTAAGTCATAGATTTGATAGTAAAAGCAGTTGGCAGATAGCAGAATTGTTAATGTGATTAGCAACTATTGTCACTGCCGTCCGATTAATGGCTCGTGCAAAGATTATGCGAGCAACTGCACCTAATCCTGACCTGTAGTCAGGCTAGTTAGATGGGGGGATGAGGATATGAAAAGGAAGTGGGAGAGTGGATCGGGAGAAGAGCTTATAGAATGAAGGACAGAAGGAGTCGATGTTCACAGACCATGGAGGAAGGACTTCCTCCAAAAAAACTAGACTGAGAAAGATTCGTCTTTTTTGAAGTGCAGTTTACCCACTTTCCCCTCTGAGTAGGGGTAAGTATTTTCAACCAGGAGGAGAATTCGACCATCGTTAAAAAATCCACACAGCTAGTCAAATCTCTCACTTTTCTTATGTGGTTGAATGCCCCGTCCTTCATACCCCACTTAGACATTCCAATTATAAAAATTTGAAATTGCAGAAAACCTCCTTCATGACCTCATCCCAGGAATTAGATAACAAAGAAATTGACATATTCAGTGCACTGCTTCTTTGTGATGTCATACTTGAGTGTTCTGAAACTTTTTCCCAAGGCGATCATTGATTGCGACAAGCTCCCTGATGAAACAGTTCATCAAACATCATTCTAAGAAAATGTCTTTGGTCATGACCTTTATTTCACGCTTGTCTGGCTCTGGCATGAAGCCAAACTGGATAATGATTCTTAGCGGCAATGTCCGTCTAACCCTCTGAGATTCTGAGATAGACTTGGGAGAACTTACTTTAACTTTAGCCAATGGCATTCTGAAAGACCATTCAAATTATGCAGAATTCTGTTGGATTCAGCATGGTTAGGGTTAAAAGAAAATTGAAAACAATTGTCAGATAACAGACCTGCCAAAAGAATCATGATAGGCACTGTTATTGAATTCCTTTCAACAATTTTTCGTGTCTGGCAGCAGACAGAGAACATGGCTACGTCCTCGGAGGAGGTCCTGTTGATCATCAACCAAGTCCGATTGCACAAGAGCGATGGGTCCTTGTACTTCATGGCGGAACGCCTGGCCTGGCAAGATAATAACAAGGACCACTTCTCCGTTAGCCATCATTACAGGGACATCAAACGTGAGATTGCTTCCTCATAAACAAGTTCAATCTTAGCAGCTTTTCCAGTTGTTACAATTTTGCCTATTCTGAATTTGTTAGGATTCTGTTAATTCATATATGCATTCACAGAAAAAAACTCTGTTTTTCTGTGATACTTTCTGTGGAAAGAGTATTTTATTTTTATGTATTACCTCCATGATGACCTGTTATTTCTAAAATGTAAAAAGAAAAGAACCTTTGACTGAAATTTTTTTTTTAATTTGTAAGAAAATTTTTCAAAGCTGAGTGGCATCAGTTTTCCTTGGGGATGGATAGATAGTTTTTAGTCTTTGCTGGGAAAGGATATGAAGATACTGTAATCTTAGGAGTACATGACATGAACCTTTACATTGCTTTTCTTCTCCGTCTCTCGGCAGAGCAAAAGATCTCCCAGGACACCAGCATCAAGGTGCAGCTGCAGGTGGTGCTACACGACGGCACCAACAGCAAGTTCCACTTTGCCAACCGGGAGGGGACGGAGGCCCAGCGGCGGGACCGGGGAGCAGCCAAGGAGCTCCTTCAACAGCTTCTGCCCCACTTCCGATTGATGGTCAACAAGGAACTCGAGGAGAAGAATCGTATCCTACAGGAGGACCCGGAACTCTTCCAGCTGTACAAAGACCTGGTCATCAGCAAGGTTATGACAGCCGACGAGTTCTGGTCAAACAGGAAGGCAACTGTGAGTCTGAACCTTAAAAACCCTGAAGGATCACTCTATGAATTGAGGGTCCAATTTTTTCATGTCCCTGTCACATCTGACGCATGATTTTTTGAAGGTTTCATGGAAAGTCTTGGAGAAGTCATGGAAAATTGGGAAAACAATCGGGTATCCTGAAATCCTGTTGTCGAAGGAAAAAAATCCGTGGAAAAATCATCGAAATTAAGACCATGCCAGGGTCAGTGCGGATGGGCCGCTTCTGATGTGGTAGAGGAGTAATGATTGATTCAAAGGCTCTCCCTGTCGATCTACAGTTGTGGTGTGGCAGTCTTCCGTTCCTAATACTAAACAACGTTTCTCTCCAAAGTGGGACTTGGTGTCATGGAAATTATAATAGTTTAGTCGTAGAAAGTCTTGGGAAAATTATGGAATTTGATTGTCAGATTTCGATGGGAAGCCAAATGGCCAGATTTCAGTACAATTGAAACTGCTCCGGTATCCCCAAACCCATTTTCTCAGTTTTTGTTTTCAGGTCGTACCCAAAGAACCCAGCGTCAGCAATGCCAAGGCCAAGCAAGATGTGGGCGTCTCAGCAGCTTTCCTGTCGGACATCAAGCCTCAGACGGACGGCTGCAACGGCGTCAAGTACAACCTGACGGCAGACATCATTGAAGCCATCTTCAGAATCTACCCAACCGGTAGGGTCAGCTTGTCTTTGATTTCAGCCCAAATCCCCTGAACCTTCCTGTGTGATGGCTTCTTTAGGGAACTCTCAACATTTAATCACCCACACAGTGCCCGTTTTCATCAGGATTTCAAATTGAGTAATATGTGAAAGCAAAGACTTCAGTTTACTCATAACAATTCAAACTAGAACAAAAGGGCCATAAGACTTTTTTGTTGGATCCAGTCATGAGGGATTTGTCTGCAGTGACTGCACCTTGTGGGCTAGTACGCAGGATTTTAGATTAGGGATCTCTGGTCTCAAGACATTGAACCATCTGAGGTTTCAACTTGTTGAAAGGAATGGGCCGTCAGTGTGAACCTGCTGTAATGTGGTTTGCTTAAGTGCAGAGCATGTTTTCTTAAAACTAAATTATTTTCTCCTGGTCGGGTTTTTACAGTGAGGAAGAAGCATGCTGAGAACGTTCCCCAGAACATGACGGAGAAGGAGTTCTGGACTCGATTCTTTCAGTCTCAATATTTCCACCGCGACCGGATCCACCTCAACAACAAGGACATCTTTACAGAGTGTGCCAAGGACGACGAAAAAGGTTAGTTATAGGCCGGATGGTAATTGATTGTCTTGTTTTGCCTGTCCGTTTGTTACCCCTTGAGGGGGTAGTTATCTCCTCTGTGGTTTGAGCGACAGCTAGCTATGCCAATTAGTAGCATGGCTGGGGACACACCCTCCACCCCCAACAGACATTATCCCCGCCCATCATCCAATCACTGCAGTCGTCACTCTCACTGGGCATTTGAAAAATGCAGAGGATTGAATTATCAGGGTGAATTTTAATTTGCCTGCCACCCTCGTGGACCTACGCCCATCAAAGCTGCGCCTCATATTGTTGCTCCGTTTTTTTTTCTATCATTGCAGAAATGAGAAATGAAACCAACACTCAGAGTGATCCCTTGTTGAATGTGGAAGGCATGTCAGACAACACCCTGGGGGAGGTAAGTCAGCAAGTCAAGAAAGGAACAAACCTTCTTTGTTGTCAGCTTTTACAAAGCTCTTAAATGGAGAGCTCTGCTCAACACAGAGGTTGGTTCATAAGAGTTGAAACGAAGCAAAATGCTGTGCAGTGTGAATCATTTATGATGAAAGCACTGTTGACTTTTTTAATTTAAATTTTTTTTGATTCCGCACTAAGCCAACTCAATAGAAATCAACAGAGATTCTACTTTCTAGTTAGGAAATATGTCCAGTGCTCAGTCCGTTTCTGAGCTAAACATATCCATGAAATGACGTTCGTGTCTAGTCGTTGATGCAACTGTGTATTCCAAGTCATTGGACCCATGAACCCTAACCCCCTAGGGTGTATGTAAAATCGTATTGAAATTGGAGGATTTGGGAGTGTTAGGGTTAATGTTGCTGTAGACCTCACTGATCGGTTTACTCCTGACGCACTAAACATTTCATTCAATTTCATTGATAGTTACACGAACAAGCAGGGACTGATAATTTCCTAATGTGTACTTTTAGGGGTATGGCTCCAACAAGGACGGTTCAAAGTCACAGTCGACAAACCAGCTCGTCAACGCATCCATCATCAAAAGGTTCAACCACCACAATGCTAGGGTCCTGAGCATCTCGCAACAAGAGGGGTGAGTTGAAATCATTTGACTGCTTCGTCCATCTTGGTCTGGTTCCCCAAAGGCAAAATTGTGTGACGCTGATTTGTGAATGTCAGTAAAGGCTGCCAGACTGTCATTTCAATACTGTCCTTAAATACGTCTGATCACGAGGAAAGGGTACAAAAACTGTTATCCTGGTTCCATCAGCATTTTACGTTGATCGGCCATGTCTTCTGGAGCATTTCTCCTTTTTTACTAACCTTTTCTGACTGTCTCATCTTTTTTACCTTGCAGCAGACCTACCCCTAACGGTCTACCACTCGGCATCCCCTCATCCTCATCAGCCACAACCTCCAACAACCACCGAGAAGTGACTACCAATCAGGTGGAGCCTCCGGCGAAGCGGACACGTCTGAAAGAAGCGATTGAGATTGAGGATCTTGCTCCTTCAACTAGTGCCGCACCCGTGACGTTAAAACTTGAGAGAACTGACAGGTATTCAAGTGCTTTCCTGACAAAGACTAAGTTGAACATTTGACTACTACATAATAAATTGCAGGGGCTATGTTTTATGGGAGTTTTATGGACTCAAATCCATTTGGAATTGCTTTTATTAAGTCCTGTAAGAAATCCAAGGATTCTTCCCAAAGTCCAGGCATCATGGCTGACAAGCCTGTAGAAACCTACAGAAAGTCGGTGAGAAATTTATCCCTTCTTGTGAAGCAGAGACTGAAAGGTTCTGAAGACTCACTGGCCCAGATGTTGGCACTGGTGGGATTTGAACCTGGATCACAGGTTGGAGTCCAGCCGACCGATGACATTCATGGCCCAACCTTGCCACCAAGGTTCAGGGTGCTCCACTCACACAAATATCTGACGCTAAAGTCCTAACCGTCAATTTCAGGTACTATCATGGACCCACTCCAGTGAATCCATCCCAGTACAACACATCCAGTGAGGTCATCGGTGCAGTGGAGAGGTTGGAACAGCAGCTCAGCGGACAGCACACCAGCCTGACCAAGGTAGGAGGAACTAAGTCCGTGTCTGAATCACTTGGCTGCGGCTTGAAATTACACAGGAGTCTATGGAAAGTGGCTTCAGCCACTACCCATAGATTTGTGTGTACTCGCAAGCCACAGTCGTGTAATTTGGACACGGCCTCATTCTTTCCAGAGTTTATGCTACCAGAGCCTTAGCCAGTGTCCAGAATTTGTGGCTATGGCTACAGTAACATTGGAGCTTTTATTTAGTAGCTGAATCCATTTCTGGTAGACACATGTATTACTGCTAGCCGCTGCTTAGAATGTTGGTTTCGTTGTCCATATGAAAATATGGACATTGACATTGTCCATATGAAAATCAGCCTAAGACTGCTTTGCATTTGGTGAGGGACTTTCTTTTAATTCATAGGTATTGCGGAGCGGTGTTGCTGGATCGGTCACCAACGAGCTGACACCAGGGGGCGCACTGATGGGACGAAACACCACGCAGCCCCTTCACAGTAAGTCTGTCGTGTAAATGTATGTACACATCTTAATGAGTTTTTCTTTTTCAGACTGCTGAAGATTGTTTGAAAAAACCTCAGAGAACTTTCATATTAACCAGAACTCAATTTGTTTGGCTCATATGTTTTATTGGTGTTCAGTGACTTGTCTGAGAATGCATGGAGATCGAATGAACAATATCATTGAGCATTTGATTGCCTCCCTCAAGCTTACCCGCGGTGTCGTCGTCGGTTCAAGTGAGCATGCAGTCTTGGGTTACTCAAAATGCCTGGACCAGGTCATCGATTAAATTTGCAAATGAATCCGAATAGTTAGAAGTAACAGACAATCACAGAACTTAGTTCTCTTGATACAATTTGTCAACTTACCTTGGCAACAATCGACTAAGCTGGCTTGTTTTTGAATTGTATTGTGGGATACTTCCCCAAGTAACCAGCTCAGCAGGTTGTTCACTTGGGCCCGAGTAAGTGCGACACGTCATGTGACTGTCCAAATTGAATGCATGCACGAGCAAACGTGAGGGAATTCATCCAATACAATGTTGGTAACTGACGTTATCCTGATATTTGGTCATCTTCAGCGCTCTATAACAAAGAAGTCCAAGACGAGCTGAAGCGCCTGTATGCTGCCCTCGCCGAGCTCCTGCGCCACTTCTGGTCCTGCTTTCCTGTCGCCAGCAAGACAGTCGAGGAGAAGCTGATCCGCATGAAAGGAACGCTGGAACAGTTCCAGGCCAGAAAGCTGCAGCCATTCCGTGAATCGTTGGCCAGGCAACACATAGGTGCTAATGTAAGTCCATTGTGATTGGGAGACAGTTACAGGCAATTGATATTGAATGACACTGCAGTTAGGAACCAGTTACCGGCAATAAACGTAAAAAATATTGTGGTTGGGAGCCAGTTAAAGTGTATGTAGCGAACATTAAATAACTTTGAGGTTGGGAACCAACTGAGAAGTGCAAATCACATGATGTTGTGGTTGGGAACCAGTTTCCAGCAACAAGCATCAAATGGCATTGTGGTTGGGAACCAGTTACAGGCAATCAACATCCAATAGCATTGTGGTTGGGAACCAGTTACAAGCAATGAACATCCAATGGCATTGTGGTTGGGAACCAGTTACAGGCAATGAACATCCAATGGCATTGTGGTTGGGAATCAGTTACAAGCAATGAACATCCAATGGCATTGTGGTTGGGAATCAGTTACAAGCAATCTTAAATGAAGTTGAGAAACTAACCACCTGTGTCTCTGTCTGTCCTTTTTCCTTACTCGTAGATGACAATTCACATGGAGGAATTGCTGACTACAGCCTATGCCAAGTTCAACTCATGGCAAGCCAAGAATGCCAGTCAAAGGTCATGACACCTTCCCAGCATGCCTTGCTGAATGTACTGTAAAGCCATAATTTGTTTCACCAATGGGGACATGCCAGAACTGTGTTGAGTACACAACTTTTTCAAAATTACTTTGATTCTGCAGGTCCACACATAATTTAAGACAAAAAAATGATGTACATGTATCTTTCAGTTGTTGCTCGTGGCGTATGTTTTTCCTTAGGTTTCATATTTTGCACAAAAGTATATATTAACATTCTAGTGCGCTGAAACTAACCTTTATGAAAATTGATCGTGTCCAAAGCCCAAAACATGTGAGTTCAATTGAGCGCTTTTGTGGGTCGCTTCATGTAACGTGCCCCTGAGTTTTTGAGGGATACAGAAAAGTTCCTCATAACAATTGTAAGTAAGATAGTGATTAACGAGTCCATTTCCCAAGAGTAGGTGTGGGAAGACATGATTTACTTTTGTAACATGGCAGAAGACTAGCTGTTTACCATGAGGATGTTTGAAACATTGTTGTAAATTTGGAGGACCAACTCATGGGTCCTGCCAGGATTTCTTTTTGAGGGGAGGATTTTTTCTAAAGCCAAAATTTCCAGTAATCATCAGCAACAAACTAATTAACCAGTAACTTTTGAAGGTTTTTTTCAGGGCTTTTGTTGGCAAATTGGTGATTTTTGTCCGATTTTGTTTTAATTTCACACTTTTCAATTTTTGGTGGGGGAGGGGGGAGTGACCCCCTGTTGTTAACCCCACCCCATCCCCGGCAACATCCATGGATCAGCCTGATTCGTCAAGTTTGTGAAACTATTTATATAATATTTATGGCCAGGTTGCACTTTTTCAGATGTTTGTATTTAAACAAAGTTTTAGTCTAGTCACCTGACTTACTTGTACACAGAGTTTTGTACTGCTTGTCCGTGCGTTTGTAACAGCCCAAGTTTCCAATTTGGGGACAGATTTTTGTTACAAGTGACACTTCTTTACAGTTATGAATAAATGTGCCTATCTCAAGGAGGAGATTTGAACTTGTCATTGTTTTTTTCTTTGACTTCTGAATTAATTCCTAATTGCGAAGACAAAACATCCATAATGTAACTTTATGTGTACGTTTAATCTTTATTTGGTTAGAGGAATGTCTACCTTGTCCCGGAGGAGTGGTAATTGGTAATTTACTTTATAGACTGTTTAAAAGTCTGTAAACTTTATTGAAAAGTTTTGAAAAAGTATTTTTATGGCGTTCATGCATTTAAAAGTTTGCCTTGCGTGCCGACTTTTAAATAGCCTGTATGGTCCAACTAATGAGTGAAGAGAGCATGCGCGCTGACTTAACGTTGGGTACAGTTAAGTTCAATGGTTGCTATTGCGTAAGTCCCGAATGTTCATATATTACTTTTAAACATTGAAAGTAAGAAGAGCGTATTAGCCTAGTGGTAGGCACTCTGGCGCTCAAACTGGAGGTTGCGGTTTTCGTGGGTTCGAATCCCGCCGGGACCAGTGGAAGGGTTTTTATTTCTTTTTCACGTACATTCTCGATTAAAAAGAGCAAAATTCCGTTTTATTTTATTTTATTTTATTTTATCTAGTTACCCTAACCGACCGCCACGGAACTCCGATCCACGGCAGGTTTCCCACAGCCAGGTATTCCTGTCCCGGGCGGGATTCGAACCCGGATCGTTTGCTCCGCAACCGACGCCTCTACCGAGCACCCAATCTGGGTCCCCAGAGTAAAGGAGCTCATTTCTAATATTTATCTAAAAGACTAGACCAGCCCGAGAAATCGAAAAGAGAACTGGTCTTCTGGAATCGAACCTGGATCTCGGAAACAGAAGTTTCGCGCCTTCCGTCTGTGCTACCAACACTGCAGAAAACGACACGCACATTTTAAATACATGACGCATCGCTCTGTACATGTACTTCATTAATCGAACTAAAATCTGAGTTTGAGACGAACCACGAACACTTTAAAGTCGAAAACCTGAAGAACCAGTTTCAAATCTGCGCCTGGCCGCCGAATATCAACCTCCAATCTCAGGTTTTACGGTAACTTTAAAGCCGTCGATGCTACTGTACTGGTATAAAAAAAAATTCCCAGCCAGACTCGAAGTCATTCGGTACTGAGGAATTGGAGATGGAATGTATTAAATAAGAATATTCTTCACTTCCGTGATCTCGATATATGCCTGCATGCGTGAAATTTCCGCATTAGGAACAGACGAGAGGCGAAGCGACGAACTTCGTCTTGGTTAAAAAAAATTGGTTCGGCAAGGTGTGCAGGCATACATAGTGTGGACCTTTGCACAAAAGAAGTTCACATAATGTAGGGTGTGATGGCGTGGACTCGTGATTGTGTGGACTCGCACACGTCCACACAATGTTTTCCCTTCTCTGAAAAACAGTTTCGGAGGCATTTTGGGGTCTAGGTTATATGTGGAAAAATGAAGAGGAACAGCCAGGAAATCATCATAAAAAATCCAGCTCGAAGGAGCTATCCTAGTTGGAGAAAAAGGAGCATTTTCCTCAAGTTTCCTGTACCACAGGAGAACAAAGGGATGTCCACACTTTGTACGTTAAACAGGTATCTGGGTTGGTGGGTGGTGGGGGGGTGGATAGGTTGGTGGGTGCAGGTGCAAATCGAAATTTTCTTCCAATCTGTATCTCAAAAACGCGCAGAACAACCAAACCAAAATGAAACAAAACAAAACCAATCAGAAATTTAAAACATCCAATTCTGACCTCAGCATGAGAAAACATACAAATCGAAATATAAAAACCACCTTCAATTTAAATTGCCTGGCGTGTAAAGCTTCTTGTTATTACCACATACACCTTGACGTATTCGTTTTCTTCGAGTTGTTGGAGGAAATTATCAACTACACGTACGTGAGTCGTCGGCAAACAATAACAATTACTTTCCCAGGAAGTTGGGGTATGCCTTCGCTGTCCTCCGATACGTAATATCATGAAAAAATAAAAACGATGATATGCACGTGTAATGCATAAAACATTTGTGTAAAACCGCCAAAACAATACAACAAACCCACTTCCGCTACTAAAAACACTCCCTTTTCCACATATCCTTCCCCTTTGTCGATGTTTTACCACAAACGTTAACAGAAAGTACTCGACAGATTCGGCCAATCTCGGACACAAGACTTCGCGACATCTTGTCAAAACGTTCGTAGAAAAACTCAACAGCATGCCAACAGAAATGAAATAAAATGTTACATTAATCTCTTTGGATTTCACAGATGTTTGTAAAGAACTTCCTTAATTTAAAGATGATGCTACCAAGTTAAGTTTTGGGGAATTTAGAAAGAATCCTTAACCAACGTACCGACCCAGTACCAAGTACTACCGGGCTCTTGACACCTTAACCCATAATTCTGATTTTCAGGGTAAAAATTACAAAATATCTTTAGTTCCCAACTATACAAAGTTACTTTCGGTGAAACTGATGTCAATATTTAATACGGGTGTTTCACAATAGCGCGCCTCCAAGAGTTTGCAATGCGTTGCCCAATCACAATGCGCAAATCTGTGGACCCAATGTGCGTTTGGAAACGGTCGAAAGGATTTCGCGCTTTGTGATTGGCCGACGCGTTGCAAACGTTTGGAGGCGCGCTCTTGTGAATCACCCGTATTCACTGAGATGCATTCTGCAAAATACCAAGTGTTCACATTTCTTCGGTGATTGTCCTTAAAAATATGAAAGAAAACTCATGAGCTTGCTTCAAAGAGAAAAAAAAATCCGCCTTTACTGGAAAGCGTCGACTACGGAATACATGTACTATAAATGTGACCCGCTCTGTAAAAATGAGTCACAAGTCTCCGGAGCTACTTTTGAGTTTGACTTTGTATTCGATTGAGGAATTTGAGCGCTTTCTGTTGATGTGTCACTCAGTTTGGTGCAATAAAAATGGACGCTGTGTAGATGTTAAAATGTTGAGGATTCCAATTGCTTAAATACTGCGCAGATTCTTTCAAAGGCCTTTAACTCAAAAGTGGCTCCGGAGACATGTGACTCAATTTCACAGATACGAACTTAAAACCCCGGGAGATAAAAGAGTTTTCCCAGCAATTACGTAACAACAACGGTGCTCTCAATTGTCAGGAAAACTACAGAAACTTTCTAACTCTTAAAACTCGCACTTTTAACAAGATATCCCCCCCCCCAAAAAACGGAAAATATTTTCATATTTTGACAGGAACAGAAAAGTGCACTGGATGACCAAAGTTGAATAATTCAAAACTAAATACAATGTTTATAGCTTTCGTATTAACAAAAGTTAAGGTGTTGTCAATTAAGTTGTGTCCTTTAAACGTGGAAAAATCTGGCAATTTGATTTTTTTTTAATATGTTAAAGTAGATAAAAATTTTCAACAAGTAAAGTGAAGGTCGTATTTCTGAATTTGGCTCATCCACGATACTGGTTCCAAAAACTCAGACTTAGTTTAAAAAGTTTTCCAAAAGTCAATAACATAATTGAGACCAAAACCGAAACTTAAAAATACTGTACAGGTTTTGGTCCAGCAATGACCCATAGGCCAAATGTTTATAACAGTTTTTAAGAAAATATGTGTAGATCTCATCTGATTTCTCTTTGGAAATAGAATTTTTAAGGCCTCGAAATAGTTAAACCACAGTGAACAACATTTCAAGTTAGCTACACTTTTGATAGAAGGATACAAAATTTATAAATTGTCCATAAATGTACTGCTTGAAAAAAACAAAACCATTTCATATTTGGAAATGGAGTTAATATGAAATTATTAAATATGCGCGCTGTAAAAGAAAAATACAAATGGAATATACAAAATCCCTCGCAAGGGCCAGTAAAACGTTACATGAACAAACTTTAATCGTTTTTGCCCACCCTCAAGAAACTGAAGTTTATCCCCTCTGAATAGTTAGCTCCGGATCTGCCCACGATGAAGACTTGGTCGGAGGATAAGAATGCCTCTCTAGGTCGGAAATTTGAAAGATGTTTCACTGTTGTAGTGTCAAGTTGAGCCAAACGGCAGACTTGTCTATCTTGATGTTTTTCAGTGGACAACTGTGGACCCGGAGGTCATTAATGATGTAGTACCCAAAACAGATTGGGCAAGGCGAGTAGTCGGCCACCAATCGGGTTTCCGTGCAGCTGGGTCGTTTGACCACGATGAGCGCGCCGACACCGCGGCGTAGCACATCGCAGTTCTGCAGGTGGTTGCCCAGGTTGCGCAGCTTGGACAGCAAGTGGCGTCGCTCGTCCGGGCACTTGGCATTCCTGAGCAGGACAATGTCCGGCTCGTCGCGGTGGATGCCCTCCAAGTGTCTGGGGAGCTTCGCGTAGGGCGCCCGGCAGTACAGGCAATACTGCTTCTTGTCCCACACTCTCGTCTTGCCGTCGTTGGAACTTGGCATGATCACGATATCGCTGGTGTTCGGCAAAGTGGGCCGACTTGGATGCTGTTCTACTCCAGGGGGCATTCCCGGAATTGCAATCGCTTGTTCGGCCAGACAGCGTTCATGCGCGGCTACAGCGGCCGGTTTACAATCAAGACCAGACATGCTAACTTTGTTGGCCGGAACTAAGATGTACTCAGTCTCAGAATCGTCATCACCGTCCAGATTCTGTAGAGACTCCACCTTCCATTCTTGGCAGGTCTGATCAGTGGCTGTCCCTGGTTCCCCTCCCATTAGGAAAGAGTTGTGAACGGGTGTACCAGGGAACACCACATGGGACTGTTCCTCCATCCGGGGGCAAAAGGCAGCGGGGTGGGGAAAGGGCGTGTGCGAAGTCACCCGAGTCAAATCGTCGTCTGGATCCAAGAACGTTCTGTGACCCCTAACCTCTTCATTCACCGGTGCACGGGAATCAGATTCCAGAGCGTTGACTGAGCTCTACGCATTCAAGACACGACAAAGACAACAGGGCATCTTTGGTGCTAGAGCAGCTGATCATTTTCTCACTTTCTTAATGCTCTCACAGAAATGATTGCAGTGAATATTCATTAAACCTCGTTGAAAATCCAACATTAACATTGTAACACCTAAATTTATACCCAGAAAGAAATAGCCCCTGGAATTTGTGTTCATCCCTGCCTACAAACATGCTCAACAACTCCAGACAACCCCCAATTCACCACATAATATGAACCATTTAATGAAACACTTGACATTTTGTCTTCACCTCCAAGTAAGCCAAAGTACTCCAGAATAAACAATCTACAAACATTTATCAGCATGTAGTGTTCAAATATAGGGCCACTTTTTTGCACAAGACCCAGGCATTTAACGCAACGACAAGATTTTAAAGCAAAGTTAAAACAGTGCTACATGATGTAAACTGGTAAGTCTCCTAGGCCTTACATTCACTGGATAAATGTTCCAATAGAGGCTTTGCACGGAAGCCATCTTGCAGGGCAGTTCTTTTGTTTCACAGGGAAACCTTCTCTGTTGAATACCCTTGGGAACAAGAGCACAGGCCTGCAAGATGGCAGCCATGCAAACCCTCTGTAGAGAGGCAGTTTCTGTAAACAGATTCATTGTCATTTTGAGCCACTGTGGACCAAATCTTAATTTTTTGATTTGGCTAAGGATAGTCCCAGCAACTCCCTCCATACCAAACAGCCAAAGCCACAGCCCCTAAATGCCTGATTCTTAAGCAGCTGAAATCTACACATACCTTTGGAGAGCCAGTGTACACGAATCTATTTCTGGCTGCTGAGAGCCCATGGCCGTGGTTGGCATACCGCCGCCTGAAATGCTGGTACTCTTCAAAACATCCACTCGTCAAGTTCATGAACAAAAAGTCAGCCTGTTGGACACATTCACAGGTGGATATATCTGAGACTTTAATGGCGGTGTGTAATGTACATACGAGGGCGGTATAGTTGAGGAGTTCACAGGTCAAGTAATACATGAGTCTATGGGTATTGCACGAAGCCGTTAGATAGCAGCTTTCATAGGTGCACATATCTTTTTCAGCCGCAGCCAAGCAATTGGGACACAGCCGTAGGCTGTGTTATGAACAGTCAAAACCTGGTAATTCCAATATAGTCTACCAGGAAGGAAATCATCAGTTTCAGAATCAGGGAGAAGGCCAAGAGACGAACAGTCTGGGTAAAACTCATGAGGTCAGGTAAGAACTGGAAAATAAACAAAGTTGCCCAGGGAGGATTCAAACTGGGATCACCCCAAAACAAGGTTTCTTCTCAGGGTGAGATATTTCTGGAAGATTTCCTTCTGCAGACTTCGCCACTTACCTCCTGAACATCGAGGGAATTCTTCCGACGTACAACCTCGGACGCCAACTTCAAGGACATGCCACCCTCCACCAGGAGGGATTCGAACCACCTCAGCAAGTCTTCGTGAATGGCTACCCTGGGCTGGTCAGGAGAGGCTGGCCAGAGATTCCAGCGCAGTAAGGTGGCACTTGGCGGTTCGCATGAGCAGGAGGTGAACCAGCAATCGTGTATGCGACCTTGGACGAGGAATTCAAACAGGATCATGGTCTTACTTTAAAAACTAATCAGCTCTCAAATATTCCCTTTACTGCAGACCGGTTTAAGGCAGAATTAACATAAATTTAAATATTATCATCAAGGCCAAGCTGACACTTGGTATAACTTTTATGCAACAATGAACAGAACGCTACGCTTAAAGTTCGGCAGCACTGCAAAATTGGGCCCTCAAGACATCTTTGCACGGCAATAGAAAGACTGAAGAATGAGTGTACATAGGAAATGGAAATGAATTAAAATAATGTCTACTTCAAGGAGACCAGACTTCCAACCAGATTCACATTCACCACATACCTTCCTCGCTTACCTTTTTCGTCAAAGACCTGAATGGATTTTGTGTGTGGGGTTGAACACTGGTGGTTCTGTCGCACAAAGCGTGACCGGAGCGGAAACGGACGCACGCATGTCTCCTGTGACGCGAGAGTGAATGAATGCACTCAATTTCAAACTGGGTTTATGTAATTGTTGAATTTGAAATAATATATGATCAATTATGTTTTGGAGTTACAGCGAAAGTGGTAAAAAATTAACAAGAGTTTGGAACCACAAACAAAAATGGAAAAGTTGGAAATAGAGGAGTAGCCATCCAAGTAGCCATCTTTAAACCTAACATAAGAATCTGTTTGGCCATACAAAAAATAAATATATTTACTCATCCTAGGAGGAGAAGGCGTGTTTTACTGTTCCCTTTCTCACAACGGCAGCTTTTTTTTCCATATGGCAAATAGTTTTTTGAATCTTTCAGCAATGCACTGGTGTCCTTGGGAGTTATCTCCATAACTGACGATTCAACAGGTGAACATAGCTATAAATTTTGCTATGAACCAATAAAACGTCAACATATAATACACTGCAAATTTTAAAACTAATTAATACAGAAAACATGAAGCAGCCACATAAAAAGAAGTAGATGAAGATTAATTTTTTTTTACCAGAACAAGTTCTGGCTTGTGAAGTAGATGGCATTCCTTGTGGTAGCTGAGTGTACAGTCCATGCATCGCATCACGCCAGGCCCACAGTCCACGCAACGCACCAAGTCCCCCTCGCAGTCCCCGCAGGTGTAACACTGTGTCTGCCGCGTCTCAGCAAAGACGTGATCGAAGAACGGCCGCTTGGTCTCCCACCTGGAGCCGGCGAGGGACGAGGTCCGCTCGGCGTCTGAGGCAGGCTGGGTGTTGCTGCTCGACACAAACTGGGAATGTTGGTCACTTGAGGTGGACTCATGGCTCTCCTGTTTCAAGAAGCCGTTAAAAATAAAAAACAAACACGGTAACAAACTCACTTTTTTAAAATTCTGCAAATGACAAAAAACAGGGGTGTGAGTGGCCGCTTAAAATTCAAGCGGAAAACAGCCAGCAAAAAGCTGAAATGTAAAAGGTTCCCATACTTTGTACAGACCAGCTGTAAACAAGCTGAAACTCAGGGTCAACATCTAAACAAAAAAGCTGAAATTAGCCGAAAAGCTGAATTCTCACACCCCTGAAAAACATAGCTTTAGAACTGTACCTATTAGACAAGGCAAGCCAACATTTACATGTATATCTGATTTTTCCATGATTTGCAACTCACGAAGCATCCTGAAATATGGGGTTAACCTGTTATTTTGTGAATGCCCCCTTTAGAATACGACACATTCCCAATAGTAACGTGTGTCATCTCAGAGGATTTGGTCAAGTCTTACTAAAAGGAAACAAATTCATAGAGTTTGGAAAAAAAACAAACCTACGTACCTCGAGGTTGACAGAAGTCTTTGCTGTCCTCTGTCTTTTTGCCCTATTTTCATTGACCTCCTGGTCAGTTGGAGACCCTTCAGCGTTGTCCATTTCACTCTGCTGGAGTTGAGGGCTGGGAGTGTCCTTACGCTTGGTCATCCTGGACGACACAAAGCAAAACCATGAGACACGTTATCCCTAACAGTCCTCAATCCTTCACCTGTTGGAGGACGGAGGATTGTTAGGGTTATTGGTGGGTCCTCTATAGGACATGTAGGTCAAGTATAAACTGTTATGCCTTAGGTAATAAGGCCTGGTACTTCCTCCTCCGAGACTTTACCCCCAAAGAAAAAAAAGGGGGCGTGTTGCTAGCAAGGCTACAAAATATTCCAAGTCATGAAAATGAAATAATGTTGAAGTCTTGACACGCCTGAATCTCAGAAATGAGGACAGTACTAGTGGCTGTTGTTTGTGTTGGAGTTAACCCCGCTGTGGTTCGTTGTCTGCCGCGCTCCCATGAGGCGTGGCGGACGACGAACCTCAGAGTTCTGGGGGTGAAGTTAGACTTGTCAGACTTTCAAGAAACATAGACATGTGACCTGGTACATCGTTATCAGGAATAAGTCACTGAGGCCATTTTTACATAATGGCCGAGTAAAGTGGAGATGTTGGGAAAATGTTGAACAAATCAATGTGGCGGTTTCTGTATATTTTGGAAGTGTCAAGGTTACCATCAACACACTTGTGATGTGTACCACTTGAAAGCTTATGAAATTCTCTTTCTGACCGTGTACATATCTCAAAAAGTCAATTTGCAATTTATTCCTGATTTCGATGTAACGGGTCACATATCTAAGATGACCTTAAGAGAGAAAAGGAGAAAACAGTCCAAGATGTGGATGCCACTTGACACTCCGTGAATAAACCCTTTGAGACTGGAATGAAAAAGTGTTTTCTAATTAACGACTTGGTATTTCCCTCCTAAATTGCACTTTTATGGGCATGTTTTTGCTTTCTGATGGCTAATACATGTAGGTCACTTGGGGAATAATTACTGGCATCCGTATATCGGAGTCTTTGTTAAAGTGGCGGCACCAAACTAGACTGACATGAATCGATTGCATTCGCAGGGTACCCAATTTCAGTCGTATTCCTGAATGTATTGTATCATGGGATGGTACCAGGTGGGTTTGGGGGGGTCGGAATGAAGTCGTAGAAACAGTCTGGTTCTTTAACATTTTCAAATGAATGCACTTCGTTGGGGAACCTGACTAAAATTGTGCCCAAGGCCAATGCGGTCTATTTCATTGGCACTGTTCAATAAGCCTTTTTCACGTTTCATGTATTTGTGCTCTATTGATGCGGCGTTGTTTCACACTTGTTTGTTTTGTCTTGTTCGTCATTTGTCTGTCCTATCAACCTGCCTATGTTAGATTGTATAGTTGGCCTTTGTCTGTAGGTTAGGGTACAAAAGCATTCCTGCTTAACCTTAAACCAAAATGTTGTCATCTAATTCATCCAATGTATAATCCTAGTTTACAGGTATGTAATGTTACTCAATTTAATGGCCAGATATATTCAGTACTTAAGTAATATGAACGCGTTTGGTTACACTGTTACTGTAAAGAATGACAGCATTGAAATAAATGTTTCATCATCATTATCACGTACGCATGCTCAGAAGATTAACAGAGGGAACAAATTCTTGACAACGCTGCGTAATATAATGTTTGTGAAATTGTGAATGGATGCTTGCGATTGTTACATCATGTAGGCCTACATGTCATGCATGTACTATACTTGTGGACAATTTTTGTTCCCCTCTAGCTTTGTTCACTTACCCGTGCGGGGGCGCTAAAATCAACAAGGTGACGGAACGGGAAATTGGCATATTCCCCCCAAAATGTCCAACCACTCAGAGGAAGGAAATCAGACATGAATGGACTAGGCCTACACAAAGAATGCAACGCCTGGCCACACGCGCTTGTTTGTATCAAGTCTGGTCGATTTTTGTTGCCATAAATTGAGAAGCTTAAGCCCTGTGTGACCATTACTTGTTCACTCAACCATAGCACGATCGTTTAAAACGGTTACAAAGAATAATTAATTCATAAGGAATTTAAATTTACCTGAATGAACCAAGTTCGGAAGTTCTGCTGGTAAATAAGTGGTCACAGTGACGGTAGAACACAGAACGTCTAGGCTATCCAAATTTGAACTATTGGTGGCGCCCTTCACAGGTGCTCTGCCTCACCATAGAGCCATGTCTGAAATGGGCTTCCTGAGGCTATGGCTACGTCTTTTGTCAACATATATTCCCAAATACAGTGTACATAGGCTTGCAATTTTCATCCTTTTTCAGATCCTCATTTCGTTTCCTTTCTTAATCTTTTCCTTTTGTGTGTCCCCATGCTTGCAAGGACTTGAACTTGATTCACAATCGACTTCATCGTCTTCACTGGTGCGTTGCGGGCCTGTTTTTTGCAAATGTGGGTCGTCCAACCATTCCCTGCTCTGTGGTCCGACATGTTCATAGCCCTCCTGATCGAGGGAGGCCAAACGGCTGAGCTCAAGCTGTAGATCTATGCCCAGTTCTGTTTGTTGATTATACTAGTTGGTTGGTTTTGTCTGTTGGTTAATTGGCCCATTCCGTTCATGAGGGTGGATGTGACGGTTCATCATAACAGCCACAATGTTTGAATGCATGCACACAAAATTAAGGCAAAAATTCCTTTGTTTATCACTCATTTCTGTCACTTCTTTTGCTTCTTTAAGTCACATCCAACGTTTTACACTTTTATCTAAAAATAAATCCCTCCTTATTTAAAGGAGGGAAGTTTAGAATGTTTGTTTTACATTTTCAGTGTGTCCGCAATAAATACACATTCACGTTCATGCAACTGATTAAGTTGCAGCTTCAATTAGTATAAATCTGAAACTGCTAACTTAACACCAGAGCGAAAGTGAAATGGTGTGATTGAAAGCAAACCATCGCACGACTCATTATTGTTATCGATATGACATGATTGCTTTGACAGTAGTCAACTTCAGTTGCACAAGTTTCCTGAGAACGAGCGGTCTCTATTTTAGCACAAGGTTGAAGCAAGTTGCAACAAGGAAATACATGTACTTTAAAGCAGTATTATCACATCTACCCATTCCTAAAAAAGCATCGTGGACGTTACATGTAAAACAAGCTCTCGTCCGCACTGTGATCTGCTTGGTGTGTCGTGTGATCATTGCTTCAAAACTTCAGAGGAGCGACGAGCAGGGCCGCGAGGAGGGACTCTGTTTTCATTGAATGACGTGTCGAGGAAATGAAACTTCGAAAGGGACGGAGAGGGAAATTTCTCTAAAGAGGCGTCAGGTGAATCCAGTCCATGCAGGAAATCGAAGGACCACTGTGGAAATATTTGAACTCCAGCACTGGTGGAAGGATACAATTAAATGTAACCTGCAGGATACGGTGAGCTGAAAAGAACGCTTTTTTCCCGATACACTGGCGGAAATGAGCCTCACCTTGTCGTATCTTCGCTGCAGAGATTATACAAGCGGTTGAAAATAAGCTAGATTGCGGTGGGCATATCCCGATGATTCTACAAAGAGACCTTTGGTCAGTAAGTTTTAGAAACTTATCGTATTTTCCTTCATTTTTATCAAGGAACAACGGACTCAGCACTATAGCTCCAACTTGGAAATCATGTCAGAATGTTCGTCATCACATCTTGGCGAGAAAGAATGAGAAATTAATACTGAACGGTAAATATACCATCCAAAAATACATTCAAATTCACAAGGCACTTTAAAAAATAAATTTGGTGTTACCCCCCCAAAAAACCTACCGGCGATAGATGAAACCTTCGGGAATATCTCAGAAAGATGTCATCTGCTGGAAGACAGCCGACAGACGAGTCTAGCAGCGCGGCGAGCGACCCATTTCATCTGATATACGATACGGTGCGATGCTCACCAGTTCCCCTAGGAGGGACACCCCAAGAGAGGGATAGTGGCGGTCAGTACGTCACCCCAGTCTGCAATTTGCTCCCACCGGAGTTAGATAAGCATTATCAGAACATCAGGCACTTCAAGGAGATTAAGCCTACCTTTAAAAGCAGAAGGGTTGGGAAAGAAGAGGGGGGCGTATCTCGAACGGAACAAACTCGGTCACTCCTGACGCCTTTGCTTCCTTCCAAGGTGAAGCAGGGATCGAGGACAACGTACCAGAACACGCCCCGGGAGTCAGCTAAAACGTCTGGCTACGCAGAGCTCCGAACTACCGACCCCTCGCCCGTTATTTATTCCGCTTCGTCGACGGCTCTACCGGTGCCTCAGAAGAAGTCTGACCCGGACACCTCTCAACGCCCGGCGGGTAGCATGGGAAACACTCCCACGGCACAGCAACGGATCAAGAAGTCCAGGCCCCAAATTCGTACCAATCCACTGGTCACTCATCAAATACCAGGACTTACGGATTCAACGGCCACGGATCGGTCAGATGCAACGGTGAGGCCCTCAGACGGGGATCTGGGAGTCACAAAACACAGTCAGTTCCCCCAGCCTGGCAAAGCTCGGTATCAGTTGACAGGTTATCTGGAGAAGGTGCACACGGCCGATCCGGTACTGGATAGGATTTTACGGCGGTGTCAGACGGCGATGGAGCACCACGCAGGCCCGGCCTCGGAGGGCCGCCTCATCTTTACTGCAGACCCCTTTGCCTGCGGGATGTTCGACCACAGCGGCGGATACCTCCCTCTCCCAAACTACAAAACGACACTCTACATCACACCTCACGCCATCGTGGGAGACAATCCCGAGCCGATCTTCATCTACGTTCACCCAGACCCACCTACCGAGCTCCTGGATCTGGAGAAGGGAGAGGAACCCATAAGCTCCACCCTGGTTTGCGGTAAGACGGGCCTCAAATTTTCCAGCGATGTAGTCCTCTCTTTTCCAGTGCAGCCCCTGGATCCAAGCTCAGGCAGCAGATACCATGTCATCGTCTCTGAGCAGGCCCCATCCCCCTCGGAAAGACCCAAACACCAGGTCCTGGACAAAATCCTTGATTGCTTCTTCTCGGTGGAGGACAATCGCTGCACACTCATGGTCAATCAGCTGGGCAGCTTCACGGTCATCTCCCAGCCGCCGAGGAAGACCGATGCTCTCAAGGGTCAGCTCAGGAACCAGGCTTCGGAGGAATTCGTCAGCTTTCGGGTGGGCGTGTTCGGCAGACAGCTGCCGGGGACAGGCAGCGCGCAAATCAGGGTAATAATTTGGAAGGACAGTGATGAAGAGACTCAGGTGAGTGCTACTAAAACTCAGGAAGAAAAGAGAAGTTGGTATGAATTCGCACTTGTTTCTCTCTGAAAAGTTTTCAGCAATTTCCTAAAACAACCCACATTCCCCCTAGGTACCACACGAATTTTGGGATCGATTTCACAATTTCAATAATACTGTATACATAAATGGACTCATGGAAAACTCACTCGATCCATTGTGCACAATGATAATTCGTCAAATATCTTGTCAAAACAGTTCCATATGTTGCAAGAATAATTTAATGACATTTCAGTATGAGTGACATGATGACGCTACTTTTCACCTGCCGAATTCTTAGTCTCATTTTGTCCTTTTCTGAGTTTCTTTCTCATAGCAAAGCCTTGCGTACTCGACTATATGAAAGTAGAATTCACAGATAATTCGTTATTTATCTGCGATCGATTACGATTTCCATTAAGCTGTGTACATTTCAGTTTCACGACTTCTTACCGAATCTATCAGGCATTACTGTGTTCGTTGCGATTTATCCTTCCCACGTTCGTTTCTAACCACAGCGCATTGTCGATGAGGAGAACAGAGATAGATTTCGTAAGCTGGACCGTGTTCGCGCCTTTACGATCAGTCAATACCGCAAAGCAGTATGGGTAACGGCCTCTCACGTGATACCCGGGTGGACTCTTCTGGCAAAGGATAAGGAAGTAAGCAGTGTAACTCTTTCACAAGTCAGAGTGTCAGCAGGCATTTGCTTCGTCATGCTTAATATTTGTAAATAAATATTACTCCCCCAATGTTCAATCATTCTCTGTACGCGTAGGATGGGTGAAAACTTTACCGTCATTACAGTTTATTCGGGCGAAACTGAACCTGCCATATCTGGATCCCACTCGGCGTGGTCACAATACCCGCAACAATTCAGAGGCGTATATCCAGCAGGAGTGGGGGGCGTACTTACACCCTTCTGGAAATATTTTGCCCTCCTCATGTAGAACTTTGAAAGAACCAGCACTGCACAACCAGTATAACATCTGTGACCCTGCCACCCCCTCCCAGGGGATTAAATTTTAAAGAAGATTCGTACTTTTGTTCTTTAATTCTTGCGTCTTTTACGACTGAGTTTCACTATAAGCTGTATTTTATATCAGGACAACATATCTCTGGTTATGTATCTGCTACATGGAAACTTTTCAATAATATGAACATGACAATGCGAAAATCTGCAATGTTACAAAATCCCACGAGGCATTCAATAGCCAAGTTTCGTTTTCGTCCGATAGCTTGTGGGACCTGTCGGCCCATAGACGAATCACAGCAGGAAGACTTCGATGAGGCAGAACAAAACTCTTGACATAATACCAATCTGATTGTATGTCAGAGGTTACGTGCAGTTCTTCGTACATTATATTAGCACTGGGAAACTTTCGTTGTCACTTTCGTCTGACATGTACTTCCGCAATCTATTCAGAACAGTAGCTAGAAATATGCCCGGCTTCAAGTAAAAAAAAAAAGAATTACAGGAACGAAGGCTAAGGCAAGAAGCCTAATCTACTTGTAACTAGCGCTGCTTAGCCAGCATTTCCTTCTGTATTATAACCGGACTCCATGTTTCATCCATACCGTTATTCAGGGTCTCTGGTATGGAAAAAAAAACTGTCATACACCATTCCAAATCCAGGCTGAGAAATTTGAAGCAGTAATACCTAGAAAATGATGCGGATATATAATGCAAATTCTAGACCTTCCATTGCACATATTGCAAAAGCTTTCTGCAGATAAATGTTTATTTGCATTTCATCACTTTGTAGCAAGAGGAAAGGCGTGGCAAACAACCTTATTTGGGGGGTATTCGGTCGCTATATTCCTATTCTTTCCTTTGGCAGAGGTTTTCGGTCGACCGCTTACTCTCCCAGCACCGGAAGAACGGATGTCTCCCGTCCTGCACCTTCGCGCTGTATCGGGAGGGGGGCTCTGGGTCGGCGCAGACCCCCCGCGTTGTCAGCTGCACGATTGAGATTTCCCAAGATGGCGGGTACGGGGATGAACCTGAGGAGGACGAATCTGAAACAGTGCAGTTTGTAGCTGTCGTGGACGAGGAAGTAATTTATTTCTTGTCCATTTTTCCCCTCGGTGTAAAAATTTCAGGAGTTCTATGAAACTTCCCGGAAGAGATGGAAGAAACAAAATTTCGCAGTGAAGTCTTTGTATGACCCATTTTCATTTATTTCCTGATGATAAAAATCTTACTTGGACTAATGGTGATTACGTACGCCTATCAAGAGTTTTAAGGAAAAAGAAGCTTCGAATTTGAACTTGTTGGAACGACAGAAGCAGAGTATCACTGCGATCTAGAGCAAACGAGGCAATGACATTTACAAGGTAAAATTATATCTTTTTTTGGAAAAATGTACAATTTGACATAAAATGGGAGAACCTTCCATACAAGCACCCGGATGGGTAGCCTCTCCTTGAATGCTTGGTGTCATAAATCATAGGGTCTTCTCAACTAAAAGCCGTTATGATAGCCGGATATTTTCATTTCACTTGTATGCTTCTCCAGTCGGAGGCGCCTGTGATCCTGCCGAAAGTACCGCCCACGCCTGATGGTTGTCACGTGCCTCCAGTGGTGCCGCCGAGGGCGCCCATCACCCAGAAGGCGGTCGTAGTCACTGCTTTCAACCTGCTGCCAAAGCCGCCAGCAGGTCTCAGGCACAAGATCCTTGGGCAGCTTTCCCTCCATCTTGAGGTGGGTCAGTCCCCTTGGCAAGATTTCTACTTATCCATTTCGAGGTTATACGACAAAAGTCCTGGGGAAATATCAACTGGAACTTACAAAATAAAACTTGTTACTGACACTAAAAGGTGCGGCTGTGGGTCGTGGCTCAGTCGAGACTGAAACGTTACTTTACAGGCCCTTGGGAAACACTGGCGGTGTTTACAAAGTTACATCAGGGAAGGGCAAAAAAGCAGGAAAGTAAAATTGAGAAAAAATAAAGTGATATTTAAAATTTGATACGGCCACAGGTGAGCACCATCTCTGGACGTGGCTGGAAACTCTTGGCGCAGAAGATGGGCTTGTCTGCCCCTCAAATTTGCTGCCTTAGGGAGAGGTACCTGTGCCCCGGTGAGGCTCTTCTGAACTGGTACCTTGGCCACCAGGTGGGTTAAATAAATGGACACCAGCTGGGTAAGCTGACATCATGTAGTATGCCAAGCTTTATGGAAACAAAAGCTCCTTTGACCGACAGCGCTACGGAAATGTCTCCACGTCATGAAACGCAGAAACACAATAATATCTTGTCATATACCCCTGCCATCCCTTCTTGGGTTCTACAGACTAATACGATTAGACGCCATAACTGCCTTGGCAGCGCACTCACACGCACATTCTTCAGCTCGACGCGCGCGTGAATTCGACAAATCACAACACCCTATTGGTCAGAGAGGCATGTAACGCGTGCGTGTCACCTGTCTACTTGTGCTTCAGCAGTAATGACTTATTATTCTGATTATCAATTTACACCATACATGCAGGTCGCTCTGGTGCCCACACGCGAAGCTCTTCGAAGACTGCTAGAGTTGTTCCGAGACATGGACTGGCAAGAGCTTGAGACCATCCTCACCAGGGAGATCCAGAACACAGACAACAGCGATCTGAGCCAGGAGTGGAGCAACACACGCCCAAGGGTGTACGAATTCATCGACGACGAGATATCGCGAGCTGGGAAACGTGCCGGAGACAAGGAAATTGCGCTGAGTAGTCCTGGACTGCAGAGGAAGAATTCGTACGAAAAGCTTTCCTGTAGAAATCGGATGCCTATCCCAACTCCACGAAACAGCCCTAAGACTACCGTCAAAAGCCTCGCTGAGAGCCCTAAAGCAATGCCAGACAAACCAGACATCGACAGGTTGTGTAAGTCTAAGAGCCCCTTCGATCAGAAGTTGCATTTCACAAGCCCGTGCTCTGAAAAGATAATCAGTCCCGCCTCAAGTCCAACCGGCTTCTTCTACCAACCGCATCTGACACAGCTTCCTAAGCCGGGGCTCTGGAACCAAGCACATGCACATGGTCTTTCGCAACACACAAAAACCCACTCTGGTGTTGCTCTACCAACTGACGATGAGGAGAGCCGCACCCCTTGTCCAGCTGAAGAACTAATAGAACGCTTTGAAGAAGAGTCTCCTATTAAGCCACCACCAACTACAGCCCCAGACGAAGCAGTCTCCGAGGAAAATCCATACTTACAACCCGATGTGAGGAAAGAAATTAAGCCTCTCTGGAGAAGGGATCAGTCTCACAGCATTAGACTTCCTCCAAAGAATATCCATCCGGAACTGACGCCGCCAACTCCACCACGGCGCACCACATCTGTCAGAGTCAGATCCGCAAGACCTCCAAAGTCATTGGGATTCCAAGAGGGAGAACCTTCACCCCCGCCACTTTTGCCAACGATTCAGGACATCCCAGCAGCTTGTAGTCCTATGAAGCACGAACGCGAACCTGACGAATATCAAGGTCCAGGCCAAATGCCTGCTGCTGAGTACTCACAGCCTCCATCTTTTCTCCAGATGAAAAAGAAAGTTCTCCAAGACCTACTGAAAAAAAAATTCCTCAGGGCGATGGGAATAGAGGACGAGAACGAGGAGGGCGCTGCTTGTCGCGACAGTATCTCTTTAGATGTGTCAATCCCCGAGGGGATCTATGATGATGTTGCAAACCTTCTTCAGGAGGACAAAGACCTTGAAATGATGGAAGAGGCGCCCGGAGGAAGGCAGCAGCTACTGGATTTCTTGCAGGGATCGGTCAAGAATCTTTTGTCGAAAGTCCCACGCAGTAAGTAACTCAAAAGGCAAAGGCCCACATCTATCAGTCTCTTCCCCCTCCAAAAACAAAAACATTCCCGTCGATGGAGATGCGAAATCCAGACTGTAGTGTACGCTCTTCTTCTACGAGAAGTAAATACAAAGGATACAAATTAAGAAGGGATGTGATTTTTAGATCCCCGCTCCATCTTTTTAATGTCTTGGTTCCAACACCGAAGAGAAAAATCAAGTTCCAAAAATAATAGACCAATTTTCACGGTCTTGTAATCTTTTATGATGTGCATTTCTTTCATAAAAATGCCGTCGAATATTTCAATCCATATTTCTATTTGTTTCAAGATGCTACCAAGAAGAAACCACTCCCCTTTCCGTCAGAACTAAGGTCAAGAGCTGCAACCGACGATATGGTATGCTATGAAGACATCGATGACGCAGATGTTCCAATGAGGACAACATCAAATCGTTCTTACCGTGTTGCTGAAAGCACTGGTAGGCCGGCATTTTTTTTTTACAAAATTTGTGCCAAAGTGGAGAAAATCAAGTCTCCTTTAACCTATCTTGTACCAAGCAGCAAGATTTTTATTTTTTTTTTCAATCAGTATACTGCATTCACAATTGAGCTAATACAGCGAGGAATTTCAAGGCCTCTTTCTTTAAAAAGGATTAGAAACAATACAGTTTAAGAAACAAGACCGACGGATGATGAACTTCATCAGAGGTCATCCATACTTGCTTATCTCCCTCAGAGCCTGTCAAGAGGACAGTCTTTGATGTGAAACTGAGCCCTGCGACCGATGACATGCTGTGCTACGAAGACATTGATGAGCCCATGGTCCCCAAAAGAGCTGGGGTTCAGGGCAGTCTTGGTGAGTAGGCCTACTTTGTCATTTTCCAAAAGGGCGTGAGAAAAAAACACTCAACTCGTGATCAGCTTCTTCAAGCTCCTGAAATAACACCTCACCGATGATGTCACAGGAGTTGTGACCCACTTGGACAGGTATCCAGGAATCAGACATTGCAGAAGAACCGACAAGGTTTCCGTGACCAGTTTGTACACGATAACCTATCGGTCACTTTTTTCCCTTTTCACGAAGGGGCCCCAACCAAGAAGGCGCTTCCTCTTCCGACTATCAAAACCACTTCGCACCCCGTGATAGACGATAGGAGTTGCTACGAAGACCTCCCCCAGCCTGCGGTTCCCGCAAGAACAGAGCCAGACAAGGTCACGGTAACGACCCACAGTGGAGAGGTAAAACTGGTCCGTAAATTTGTTCCCCACACGAGAGCAGTTCCTCCCCCACCTCTACCAGAAAAGGCATATGAAGTGATGCCAATAGGACGGCCAGGGGGCGAACAGAGACCTTAAATTGGTCCTTTCATACCGCGTCATGGATATTCGGGGATACAGGACCAGACCCTAAATTAGGAATCCACAACATCCCGAGCATAGCCCCTAAAAACAAATTCATTGACAAGAATATCAGAACACAATAACATGCATACCATTCTTTTAGTGAAAACTATAAGTGAAAATCAGCTGTAAACTGATCGTTTTGATTTTGCATAGACCACGACTTAAATAAGCATCAAATTTGCATCGAATTATGACAACTTCACACAGTTTGCCGCAGGCTTTAATACAATTTCTGCCGGTTGGACAGTAACGACAGTACATGTACAGATTTATTCCCTCCCCACAATAAACACACTAACGACACACGCAAACAGCATGAAAAGATAAAAGAACAGTTTGTCACAGTCGATCACGGGTGTGACATTCGACAGGATTCGACAGAACTACACGATAACAGGATCGTGACAGAATTTGAGAATGTTCCTCAAACTTTTCATTCTCTCAAGACACTTTGCGTCTCAATACTTGGTGCAATTGGTGAACAAGAAAAAGCAAACTAATTTTACTACGATACAATAGGTTTTTTTTTTCTGGCAGAGTTTATTACAAATTATACATCAACTGCTTATTGGCTGCACTGTACTGGGAATATCATGAAAGCTAAAAAGAATCTTAAAATGTACTTTTATGATCAAATAACTTCTAAAAAGGTGAGCAGATATTCTATTTCTTTTCTACTCTTGTATATATAAATGTATGAAACAGTTTACGGAAGTGCTCTGGTTTTAGATTGTTTTAGATATCATACATCAATTACATGCATCTTAAAAAGAATACAAATTTGACTACAGGTGTATCGGTTTATGTCAACTTTTTAAGAATCAAGTGCGCACATTATTCTGCTGAAATATTCTTTGGCCAAAAAAACATATTGGCAAATGTGTGTCAAAATTTAAGAATTTGTCATGATTTTACCATACCACACTTGTTAAAATTGCAATGCTGTAAATTTATTGAAGATATTTTCATTTAAACAAGAGTCTTAGTAAATGGAGTTTTACTTTCAAAATATATGATCATGATATAAAATTCTGATTAAAAATCCAAATATAAGGACAAAGCCATAGTCAATTCAAAATATGTAAACAAATTTACCCCATACCTGCAAGAAAAGATTACTTATCAAGGCTTTTTCTGTTTTGTTGAAGTACTTCGAATATCATTGCTACAGTCCTGGACAACTGCAGAGTTTCACGGTGTGGGTGGAGTTACACTTAAAAAGCCCCCCCCCCAAAAAAAAACCCACCCCAATTCTGCCTAATGTAAGGTGTGTTTTGCCCACAGATATTGCGATCTTTTGTACAGCTGCAAATGACACTGGAGAAATTAATGGACTTTGTAACCCTAATTTTTTGAGCACAATATACAAAGAGACGTCCAGGAATTATCAAAACTGATACAAGTTTTTAAAAATACACTTAATATGAGGCAGCTGGATTATGGAACTTTATTTGCTTATAATCTTCAGAAGCCAAGATGTGCAAGTATTTACAGCTGAGCCCTCAAGTTTGCAAACCGTTTATGTTACTCGAGTGACATCACACAAGTGACACATTGTATATAAGATGAAGAACATAACGTAGAAGTTACACTTCGTGACATGTGTCTCAGACACTTTGTGCATATTTTGATGAATGTGGATCTTTGTAGCAAGACTTACAGAATAAAAAAAAATGAATGGCCACCATTTTACTTGCAGGACTGTGATTTCGTCATCTCAAATCAGCTGCTGAATGTCCGTTAACCTCTACTACTCACAAAAGTTAATCGATCATTTTGTTTTATTTTATAACTTTCAAATTAATGCGTGGAACGTAGAAGAAAAGTGAATATGAATCTTTTTCAATTCGGTACTGTAAAACATGTCAAGATATGAATAGTTTTCAAAGCTGCTTTTGTATCTGTTCTGCCAAAATGGATAAGGAGATTTGGGTCATTCTATAAATTTGGGGCCCAAAGTGTGCCATTTTCCGTCCCTGTTCCCTCCGACATGTATACCATCTAACATGTTTGACAAGGGATGTAGCACTGAAATTGATTTCAAACTATTTTTATTGGTTTGGCAGGTAATTTGCAGCACTAATTCAGGTTTGGAAATTCAAGAGTGAATTCTAAACATTAAAAATCATATGCCAGACGTAACAGGGACAGGAAACAATTGGACCCCAAATTTATCAAATGACCCACTTGGATAAACTGAACAGGGCCCAGCAGGAACCAGTTTGTGCGTGATGAAACTGGATTTGACCAATTCACTTAATACTTTCTCCTTTAATAACTTTTGTGGCAAATGCATAAAACTGAGTAGGACTGGAAGGAACTTACTGGGGTCAGTTCAAGCTGATTGCTGCTCCAGAATGCCGTTCTTGACCAGTTCTTCTCGGATCATTCCAAAGGCAGACGCATCTTCAATGGTTGGAGGGATCTGAAAAAAAATATCCGATTTTGACGGTAAAAAGAAATCTACAGACCTTGAAGTGCTTTCAATGGCTCATTACCACGGGGATGATCTTTAGGAATTGATCTACCGTGTTGACTTTTACGTTTCATGGCTTACCGCGAAGGGCTTGCCGTTGGCCATGTTGGCCACACTCTGTCTGGGTATTTTGCCCGACCGCGTCTTGGGCAGCTTGCTAACAATGAAGGCCTGCTTGAAGGCGGCCACTGGACCCACGCCATCACGCACTGCCTCCACCACTTCTTTGAGAATCTGTGAGTGGGGTTTGTTCACATCTACAACGGGCGAGATCATCAAGCGAGACAGATCACAGAGAAGCAATGGCCAATGTACAAACAATCACGTCAGGAATCAAACAGTCCTGCATTGTAAATCTTTACATGCTGCCTCATTTGTAGTCGACCAATGGCAGCCACTTATTTGAAAACAGAAGAATGGTCCAACACTGGCCACAACGCACCTGCTTTGAGGACAATGAGACCCACGGGCACCAATCCTTTCAGTTTGTCCTCAAGAGGGATAACGGCGCACTCAACTATGTCTCCCTGGTCGATAATTGCCTGAAAAAAAGAAAAAATCCAGAAACTGACCTTTCAGAGTTACTTACCACACGTAATAAACTAAAAATGGGGGGGGGCAACAGACCCTTTCAGCAATTACAAACTCCGGGCAGAGGTCAAGTTGATTTGCATAATATTAAATTATTTACATATTCATTGGTGAATTGTGAATGTTTTGTTACTTTCTGACAAGGGAATACAATGCAGCCATTTGTCACCAGCTTACTCAAAAAGCTTTTGAAACCAACACTGGGTATCAAGTGAAACACTGCCCTCGTCTGGTCATGCACAAGAGCAAAGGTGCCCACCTCTTCAATGGCAGATGAGGCGATGCGATGACCAGCCACATTGATGACATCATCGGCACGCGACTGGACCGAGATGTAGCCTTCTTCTGTTCGGATTCCAGCATCCATGGTGTCATAGTAACCCTGGGCACAAGGTTATTAAAAGTACAGAAGCATTTCCAATGTGATGATTAGCCATGAAATTGTGACAGAGATGACATTTGGAAAAGCCCCTTTCCCTGTCCACTGCAATAATTATACTGTAATTGGGCTCAATAAAATGGTAGGTCGAATAGCGCCCTCAGCAGTTCACGCGCAAAGCTAATGAAATCTGCACCAACTGACCGGGTAACGCTGGAAGTAGAGGCTTTCATATCGCTCATCATTTTCCCAGAGGGTGTTGATGGCACCTGGAGGAAGTGGCAGTCTGTGAGAAATATCCCAAGAAAAAAAAAAAACCTGAGTGGGTTTGCTTCTCATAATTCCACTCAAACGAGTAATAAAGATGAAACTCGTGACAAACTCACCTGACTGTGATTCTTCCTAGCTCACCAACTTTTGCCTCTTCACCCTTCTCATTCAAAACTTTAACTACAAGTTGGAAAATGAAACAAAACCAAAAAAAAAAATTATGAATCCAGAATCTGACTGGTTGAAAAGTGTTGTCATCCAGTTCACCTCTTTCTATCAGTCAAGACTTACCATTCCAGCCTGGCACCGGTTTGCCCGTGACGCCGTGAGGAGGATGCAAGTCTGTCCCCAGCCCCACAGGGGAAGCTGTGATGGCCCAACCCGTCTCTGTGAATACAAATGTTAACATTCAACATTAGCGGATACACGTTTTTTTTCTGAGAATACACAATAAGATTTTGAAAGGACTTGGCCTGACTGAACTTTTGCTAAAAAGAAAAACCAACAGAATGAGAGAATTTGACAAGCATCATTTTCTACCGAGGGAACAGCATTCCCTGAAAGGTAACCACTTTTTGAAGGCCAATTTCCTGCCTGGTACAGGTGCACTAGTGCCAACACCCACACACTTGCCCAAATTGTAAACAACTGCCAATATCACATGAAACTTTAAAATAAACACAGAGAAAACTCAATCCAAATTAATTCCCCCAATTTGAAAGCTGGTCACGTACCTGTCTGCCACCAGTTGTCAAGTACTGGCGATTTGAAAATTTCTTTGCACCAGTGCATAGTTTCCTGATCGCAGTGTTCCCCAGCCACAAACAGGAGGCGGAATCTGAGCATCACAAGACAAGCAGGTGGTAATGAGCGGGGCCTACGTAAAGATAGGCTGAACTTATAGACTGCGCGTGGGAGAGTGCCCTCATTGGCAAAGAGGGCTGAGACACAGTCACGAATCTTGCACCTGTGCTGATAAGCCTTCAGATTTGAATGCATCCCTGCCTGCATTTCAATGCGAAGTCTCTCCTTTCATTCTAGTGACAATCTAAATACTGTTTGCTCTTTGCATTCCAGGAACTTAAGGGCAACACTGTAGCAAGCTCATATTTGAGTGGGATTCGAACCCAGGACCTTCTGCTTGCCAGTGCAGGTATCATACCAGGCTTTCAACAAAATGTCCGAGGGCTGAAACCTACATTAACTTACCCTTACCTGGGATTTCAAGTTTTTTTTGGTTGTTTTAACAAACAGGGGGTTAACGCATTGGTTAACATTTAAAACTAGCCTTGACCTTAAAATTCCCCCACTCCTTGGAAGTCATTTTTCACAATTTTGAGGACGCTTACTTGGTCAAGGGGTATTTCTTGGCATATTCCCCAGTCTTGTCTTCCTTCATAATGGCTCTCAGGGCCGTGGGTGCCACGAACATCCCAGTCACGTCATGCTGCTGAAGAACGCGGAAGAAAGCACCCGGGTCTGGGGTGCCGACAGGCTTACCCTGTACATCAGATAAACACCTGTGTAAAGCCTTGGCGGCGGTTACGTAGAGTAGATGGACAATTTCATGTGACTCTGCAGAGTGTAAGAAATTTGCTGAGCGCAGAAAATTAGCAAAGGCAGGTTACCAGCCATGACGCCATCTCATGTATATGCATAATAACGTGTTCTCAGCCAATATTCACATTGTTTGGCCTTATCTCAATCTGATATGTGGCTATGGCTCTGCTATTGGCATGCAATGATGAACAGCCACAGCCACAGCCAGCAATGCCTGTTTCGGACATGAGGCTTTGTTCTTCACCAGTGCGCCCCCCCCCCCACGACATCAGTCCAAGCCTGTTACCCCTCCTTCTCACCTCGTAGACAATGGTCTGGCATCTGGTCAGCAATGGTGCCCAGCAAATGTAGGAATGACCTACGACCCAGCCAAGGTCAGAGGCCGCCCACCAAGTCTGGTTGTCGAATAAAAAGAAAAAAAAAATTGAAGAATAAAGTTATTTCTAGTAATCCAGTCTGAGGAAAGCTCTGGTGGGTTAAACAGTATCAATTTTAGCCACAAAGGTTTCCTGTTTTGTGATATTCTGCCTTAGCACACACGTACAACTGGGCCTGATTCCCACATTGTGATGGCATGCTACTTTTGAAGCTTAAATAATCTAAAAATCAGCAAAATGATGGAATCTGTATTTTCTTACACCTTGAACACACAACCCTGTACATTACACCAAATCTAAGTAGACTGTATCTCACATCTTTTTTCAAGGAACACCCCCCTACATCAATTTTACACAGGAGACTACACCCTGATAGAATGCAGGCCAATGAAATCAGCAGACTGGCTCATTAATATGCATGAGGTGCCTAATTAAATCTCCTTACCTCTCCAGGATTAATCCCATAAAGGCTCTTCATTGACCAGTTCAGGACCACAGCGTGGCTGCCGCTGGGCCTGACAATAGCCTGCAGGAATGACCACAGAACTTCAGAAACCAAAGAGTATTGTTTCATTGATTCTATGAAAAGATCCAACCCGGAACACTGACAATTTCTAATCACCACATCTTGTGTAAAGCATTCACCAAACATTTTTCTCTCAAAGTTTTATGATTGGTAAGGGTCCATATTTCTTTAGGTGTTAAACAGAAACTTCTCTAAAGTTTGGTTTGTTCCTTTGTCAAGATGCTAGAAAGTAAACTGATTTGTCTCATATGCATTGTATATTATAATTCAGCACAGCAGTAGTTATTAATTACAGGCATCTCTGCATATGACAAAATTCATGAAACTGAAGATTAAACAGTATTGTAAGACACAAGAAACCTTCTCAAATTTTTCATGTTCGAAACCAAAGTTACAGATTCTAGCTAGCAATTAGTAAATTAAAACAAAAGCCAAAGCTGTTGCTGGTGTTCACAAACTCAGACAATTCTCCAGATTTTATTTTTGGACAGTCAAAAATAAAATCCACTGTCAAAATTCAATGTGATCCATTTCCCTCTCCAACAGATTCTAAGAATGCTGTAACTGCAAATCAAGGCTGGCATGATTTCACATGGCCTGTTTGGCACATCTACCATCTGATCAATCAATGAACAATAGTCGTCAAGGCAACAGATTCCCTCCTGCCCACTGATGTCAAGGCTGGGACACATAGCAATTGTTCACAAAGGAAACAAATGCAACTGTGCCATTGTGCTTTGCACCTTTATGTACAACTGTGCACCGCTACATGAATGAACAGTCCGACAGCAATGTAAGCTTGATACAACACTGTCAACAGTCTAAATGTGATTTCCTGACAAAACTGGAAAGGTGACTTGCCTGGATATGATTTTAGTGAAGATATTCCAATCCAACATCGTATCCACACAACCAAAATCACATCCCAGTCAGAAATCACATACAAGAAAAGTCTAAAATCAGATCTAAGTCAGCGTTATAGCCAGTCAAATCTTAGTGCAGAACAATCTAGTAATGGTGAACGGAAGGAGCGAAGCGACCAGAGTCTCACTGGTCACGGCCAGGGGTCCAGGGGCCCTCTAAAGGGGACTGTAGATTGCTTTTTCACTGAGTTTTTCTTTCCGAAGTGAAAGAGTTCAATTTTTTAATTCCTCCAGGTAAACGTTCTGAAATTTTCATAGAGACTAAAGGTTTTCTGAGATTTTTAAGGATTTTCGAGCCGGTCAATGGGCTGTTTCATCAAGCTTAGTGCTGGATGGTAGAACGTTGTGGTGGAGATCCCAAACCGGCGCCGACCTGCGTAGCTAAAGTTAGACTTTAACAACATAATCCTGGATGTGATTTCTGGCTGGAATGTGATTTTGGGTAATCCCTGCCAAATCACATTCTAGGTTCAATATCACATCCACCCTAAGCACATTTTCATTTTTGTAGAGAAATCACTTTCAGGCCGTTCACAGTGTAAAAGAAGCATGACACAGAAAGATTTTGCACAGCAAAAGTTTTCATCAAACTTTCTGAATCCGTACATGTATATCTTAATAGTTTTCACAAGTTCAAAGATTTTGCTTTAACCCTACTGCTCCAGCGTCCACAATTCCATACAATTTTTCATATACCCTGAAAAAATACTACAAAAGAAAAACTACACTGACCACTTGACCAGTAGACATTATATGTCATCCAAATTTTGATTTCAAATTTACAAGTGCAGTCACAATTAGACCTTCTTTCTTGAGTAACTTTGAGCTGAGCTTTACCTTAGGTTGGCCCGTTGTTCCCGAGGTGTACAACAGGTAGACAGGATCTGTGGCCTGGACAGGGACACAATCGTGGCCCCTGGCACGCCCCATGGCTTCATGCCAACAGAGGTCGCGATCAGCAATCAAATCGACGGGATGAAACTGAAGAAAAGGGGTTGAACAAACGACACTTAACAAGAAGTTGCAAAGAAGCCGTGTTGAGGTGGGAAAGGAGTAGAGTTCTACTTTACTATCCATCAAGGTGATTTGGGTTCGAATCCCAATCGAGACCTTCTGGCTTCCAGCTTTAGGTCAAAGGCTCTCTTGCTAGATTTAAAACTAGTCATCTGTCTTTTAGGCTTACAGTGTAACAATCACAAGTCGTTCTTGATGAAACCTTGGTTTATATCGTTGATTAGTATTGTCAAAAGTAAATTAAGTTGATGTTAAGCTTGCCATCAGCTAGTGATTACTGCACGGGAGCTCCTCAACCTCAGTAACCTAGCATTTTGTGTACACTCTCCAAGTTTTTCAGTATTTTTGAGTTTTGTTCTGTCCAACATCGTTCAACCATACATCAATTCACCCTAAATGCACACCAGAGACGAGAAACCAAGGTCAAATTGAATCTGGTATAAAGAATTCAGGCCTAAAATTGGCAAAGAGTATAGCATCCTAGAGTAGAATTAACTTAGTCATCACCAGAATGCAGGACAGTGACCTATTAGTGGTATGGTGGGTTTGAGTCCAACCCAAGCCAACTTCCTTACACTGTCATCCAATATCTTTTAACCCTAACCTTCCCCAACCACACGGAATTAAACAGCAGTAAAGTGTTTAATTCTGTGGGGATAGGTCTGGTAGGCCCATAACAGCTGGCTTTTGCATTGGGTTCGGCATACCCCAGAAAACCGAAGTCCAACAGCCTCTGTGCACAAAGTCTGTTTAACTTTGTGTGAATGGGGAAGGTTAGGGCCAGCAACCCTTGGGGGTTAGGGCTAATGTGAGATGGATGCTTACATCTGGTCTGTTGTAGATGATGCAGCGTTCTGGTTTGTGGTCACTGAGGTTGATGGCCTTGTTTAAGAGTTCCTTGTAGTCAACGATGCGGTTTGGCTCGATACCACAGGACGCAGAAACCACCAACTTGGGCTGGAAAAATAAACAACTCTCAAAAACTGATCGCCTGTCTTTAAAAGTGACTGATTCTTCTCAAACGATGAATAAGAATTAAAAATTATCGTACTACCTTTAAAATAACGCAATCTTTAGTGAAAACTTTAATTCATGGAATGCTGTAACACAAAAAAGGGCCAAGAACATTTGCAGCCCAAGTACATGTACTGTCAGATCATTGAAATTATTGAAATTGGGTTTGGTTAAATTTTGTAAACATGGATGTCACAGGTCAGAACTAAAATTTCCTTCAATGTCATTTCTGGCAGGGACCGTCTACTCATGTTTTGGCACAATGTGAATTTCTTCAAAAATCCAAAGCATCAGAACAGGTCTAGTATCTGCAAGTATCATTAGCTACACTCACCTTAGCGTGGTTTATCCTCACGCCAAGCTCTCTAGAAGCAAATCCACCAAACACCAGTACGTGGATTGCTCCGACCCGCGCCGAAGCCAGCATGGTTATGACAGCCTGGGGTATCATCGGCATGTAGATGACAATACGATCACCGTATTTCACACCCAATTTGACAAACACCTCGGCCAACTTGGCCACCTACACACGTACATGTATATAAATGTAAATATTTAGTTCCCATTTAAAACTTAATGTGCACCATTTTATATGCCTGGATATCTTTTATAAACCCAAGCATGGCAGCATAAAGATCAGCAGTCAACCCTCCCGAAAGAGCTCTACATCTGCTAGAATTGGCAGCAAGTCCTTGTGTCCAAGTCAAGTCATATTGTCAAAGCTGGTAGTTAAAAGTCAAATAAAAAATCGTAATTGCGACTTGAGTCTGACTCCAGTCAAAGTTGCATTAACTCAATAAATGGCAACTACAGGACTTTCTACTTGTGTAAAAGCATACACATTCTGGTATGAAACATCTTTCCTGGGAGAGTTTTAGTTTTTTCCAAGCTTAGTGGCAAACAGAAGGGGGCACAGAGTTTACTGCTGCGGGGAATTCATGACGGTTGGATATGGACATCTTAACCTATGCAACTTAGCCCAACCACGGAAGGAGGAACCATGGAGGAATCTCCATGGCCCAACACAATATTTAGAGTTTCACAAGCAACCTTAGTTGTGTAATGAGCCAAAAAATATGCCTACTTCTTCCTGGAGTTCTTTGTAGGTTATCTTCTGTACTGTGTTTGACACCGGACTGTCATAAATGATGGCTGTCTGGTCACCGTGGCCCGAATCCACGTGTCTGTCGACTGCATTGTAGCAGATGTTTGTCTCTCCACCAAGGAACCTGGCCAAAGAAACCAATATTTCAGTGAGAAGTTATAGGAATGACACTTGCGTTGGCCTAAGCTACACGGATGGAACATGATAAAATGAGAACACCTCGAGTAACAATTAAGTTACCATTTAGTAAAAGGCAATCGGCTGTTGTCCAACACCCGGTCCCACTTTTTGAACCACGTAATTCTCTCAGCCTGCTCCTGCCAAAATTCCTCTGGTTCGTGGAGCGACCTCCGATATACCTCATCGTAAGTCCACCGTGAATTCTCACTGGGGTTGGCATGGTTGGCCGTATGCTCCTCCTGGTGGTGTTGCTGTGCGCAGCACCCCGCTGCCGTGACAATGCCCTGGGACTTTTTTCCACTCCAGACAGACGGGACAGACCAATTTTCCGGGCCAGTTCCCAGAGCTGGTAAAAGTTTTCTCCGGTGATAGGACACAAACGACGACCATCGTGAGTAAGGCCAACATCTGACGAACTGCATCCTGATACTCTTTTAGTGATTTGACGACATTTACAATGAGCAATTGCCCTTTTTCAAGCAATCTCACCGGCTTCGCTGGCCAAAAACATCCCACACAATGCTAGCTTGATAACGGTTTGCTCATGAACATGTACGTGTACATTGTACATAAAAAAACAGGCCAACGCAGACAAACATGCATCGCCATTATGCAAGGCAAGCTCGAGTGGAACACCCTATTCAAATAGGATATTTTATTCTCTCCATATGGTACTGAGAGTACTGAACGGTAATCAAATTATTCCCATAGTTCTGAATGGAACAGTAATATCCTTCAAGAACTTCAGATAACTTTTTGTCAATTAGACAAGACACAACTTTATACTGGAGTAAGCATCTCTAAAAGACCACCCCTCTCAAACTTTATGGATTCGCCTGTTTCCACCTCCGTGGCCTCATGGCACCTGTCACGATGTTTTATGGTTTATTTTGGAATTCGATTGCGTGAACATTGTACAGTAGTTGAACATTTGGCCCGTCCCTGGGAAAACTAGGGGCTGACAAATGTCTCTTAATTTTTGACGCATTGATAGTGCGTCACAGGACAAACCCTTTTCATAGTAAAATCACAAAGCGATTAACTTCATTATGCTTATTTACTGCAAAGCTCGAGTATTAGCCATCACCCGCCGTTCTCCAGTAGCATCTAAACCACCCAAAATCGACTTTAATTTGGCCTGATCCAGATTTAAACAATAAAGGTCAGAAACCGAACAAACAATTTAAGAACATCTTAAATACAAATAAAACTACCCCACAACAAATTCATTCAAAATTGCAATATTTACTCACCTTTTTGCTTTTTGTGTTACATCATAATTGCACAGTTTGAAAATTAATGACATAATTAAACACCAATTTATGCTTAATGTAAAGATTAATGTTCCTCCACATTAATAGTACTGAGTAGTGACTATCAGGTAACCCACTGATTGATGCAAATACAAATATATTAACACAACAATTCGTAAGCCTGGTTTTTGTTGTTTTTGAAGTTTTGTTTTGATGTTTTTGTTAGTTCCTGTGCAAACTTCTCAATGTCTGTTTTTTTATTATATGTGTGCCTTAAAATTTTTTGTATTTTGTTTTTAGTGCTGTGTACTGTTGGACTTTTAATTATTTGGCGAGTATGTCATAACTAATCTGAATAAATCTGTAATGATTATAATTGCTGGGCACCTGTGGAAAACAGTGCTTGACACTGACAGGTCTCCCCAGGGTAAAAAAGAAATAAAATAAAATTAAAAAATGGGTGGAGAATATCTACAAATTATGTATTGCAGTACATAATAGGCGCAATATTGAATAAACTAAATACATCAACATGTATATTACTAATCGTGCAAATCACATTTTAATAACATTAAATGTTGCGATATGGAACACCTCACTGTTGGACGGAACAAGCGGTGTAGAATTATTTTCCCTTAGATGCATGCAAACGGTGGGTAGAAATAATGGTTTTCGACATTTTTCTTGGTGTATCCACGTCCTGAGTTGGGGGGAGGGAATAAAAATGGAAATTATTTTTATATTTCATCCGTAAAAGAATTCTATCCCCCTTGTTTATAGATTGTAACTGCTTTCAATTCCTAAATGAACAAATACGCGTAATAACAGTAAAATAAAACAAGATGTGGCAAGTCCCCCCCTCTTGAATATGCCTCTGAGTTGTCTTTGTGTACTGTCCAATATGTCTTACGGGTCAGCCTACAATCAGCCTTTAGCCCTGACCACAACTGAGTACCTACAGAGGAGGCATCTACAAACTGGTGGCAAATTAATGGACTATATGCCCACTTATCATGCAGACACTGGACTTTGGCAGCATGCAACAATCATGATCAAAATAAGGCATGCATGACTTTCAAATTTTTATATGTAACAAGTCAAACAAAAAGACTTCAAATACATAAGAACACTTATATGGCTCTACAAAACGATACAGCCAGTTTGCAAATGTGACAAAGTTGGATTTGGGCGAGATTCTTGAAATGTTTCAACAGACCAGAGCTGAATGGACTTGTTCAGAAAGACTTGCAGTACATTATGCAAGGTATCAATCCATGACTATGAAAGGGTACATTGTTAATCAAAAACTGTGCCAGTGACCTTTGCTTGTAAGGCAAACAAAGAGTAGACTCCATTCAAATCTGCCGTAACTGACTGAAAACTGTAAAACTATAAAAGGACAGCAATATTTGAGGTTTTAGTTACAAAGCATTTTGATGCTAACTGAAAATTCCTTTGCGCACTTACCATGTCATTTGGGCAACTTGCAACCATGTTAAAATCTACACAGTAGCAAGCTAACACTAAAGAAAAGTCAGCCTAGAATGGAGACTAATGTGGATACGAAAGCACCAGTAGCAAGATGGCTGTGCAAACAGTGAATGTGAGATTAATTTATGTACCGTCTCTCACTGCAACCTGTGTCTGTAAACTAAAGTCCACCATTTGTTTGCTGTCAACACCAGAAGTATTGGCAATAAAATTTCCATAAATAAAACTTTGTGAAAATATTACAGGACTAAATCGGAGTAAATCCAGTCTTCCAGCCTATCCAAATGAATATCAACATTACATAACTATTGGCTACAAACGTAAAATAGACTATGCAAATGAAGTTTTCCAGGGAGGTATTGCTAAAATTATCAAGCAAATTAACAGTGGAATGTTCTGCTCCGACAATCTTAGTGGGATGACAGGTCATCATTGGTTAAGTACATGTCATATCAAATCAATCTTCATCCCAAGAACCCCATCAAATTGTCAGATCTCTGCTGCTGTGTTTTTCCTGGCTGGCTACTACCAGCCAGTGGGTCAAATCCTCCCATCATGCCTTGCTGTCCTGCCATGGAACTCTGGGAGCTTCCCATCATGCCTTGGGATGGTCTACCTATCATACCCTGGTTGCCTCCCAAAAATCTCTGTGTGCCGCCCATTCCAGCTTGGTTCCCCACCATGGCTTGGTTTGCCATCATGCTTTGATTTCCCATCATGCTTTGATTTCCCATCATGCCTGGATTTCCCACCATGCTCTGGTTTCCTGTTATGCCCTGGTTTCCCGTCATGCCCTGACTTCCCATCATGCTCAGATTTCCCATCGTGCCTGGATTTCCCATCATGCCTGGATATCCCGTCATGCTTTGCTTTCCCGTTATGCTTTGGTTTCCAACCATGCGATGGGATCCCATCATGCCTTGTGCTCCTGTTGATGATTTGGGTGCCATTTGATTTAGCGTCTGTTTTGGCTTCTGAGAAGGTCCAAGCAGGTTATCCAAGGCAGCCATGTTAGGTTTTTGAGCCACTGATGACTGGCTGTTGGCCATTCCTCCAAAACCTGTCCCAACTGCTCCACTTCCAAGAGAAGCCTGACTAGTCTTTATTCCAGTCCCTCCAGATCCAATTGAGGAATTCATACCCCATGTCTGGCCTCCCCCACTGCTGCTAATGCCGAACGAAAGAGCGGCTGCATTTGAGCCTAAGCCACCCGCTGTCAAGTTTGTAGCAGTCAGACTGTAGTTAGGTTTTGAGTTCAGTGATGAGTCAAGCAGTGTGCCAGACAAATCCTTGGACTGTGGTTTCGGCTCTGGTGTCTTAGTCTTTCCTCCAGCCGTTAATGGCTTCTGCTTCTTTGCCCTCTCTTGAAATTCCTGCTCACTGAGAATTCTCTGCTTCTCCTCCATCGTCAGTGATACCTGGGTCGGCTGTTTGTATTTCGTGGCCGTTGATGACGATGGGGAGGAAGAGGAAGAGGGGGAACTGGTTTGGCCCGGTTTGGAGCTGCTGGGACTGGTTCCACGATTGATTGCCTCAACTTTGTTGCTGGCGTCACCAAGGTACTCACTCAGACCAAACGTCTTGAACATGTCATCCATCTGACATGGACAAAAATAACGGTTAAAGATGAACAGAAAAAAAAAATCCACTTTTTCACTTAGCAAATAGTCACATGAATTGGTCTGAACTCGGTTTTCAAAATGTCAAATCACAGAATTATGTGACTTTCGCGTTTTTCTTCCAAGAATTGTCTAAAGGTGTTCATCACAAGCAATGCATTTTGTTGGCATTCAAGGTTTTTGGAAAGCCTTTAAACGAAAGGAAAGCGAGCGACTGGTTGAGTGAAACTTACCATGGATCCGGTCTGGCCGGCGCTGTTACTGATTCCCATTGTTGCAAAAGGATTCTCCTCTGCCTTGGTCTGATGCTGGAGCCTTTGGTTGAAATCAATGGATGTTCTAGGATGAAGGAATGAAAGACACAGATGCAGATTATATTGCAAATCTACCTCCATATCTTTACTGTGGTCATGGAGTTATGTTACCACTGATCACTGCGACGATGCACGACATTTGATGCAGTAATCCACACAATGTGAAATGCATATTCCATTCATTCAAAGAGGGCAGTTTGCACCTAATGTCTAGAAATTTTTTTCTGAACAGAATGAGCTCAGATGACAAGTGAGTTTGTCAGACCGAGAACAGAAACAAGTGATGTGGCTAAGAGTTTGTTTTTTTCTTTCAATGGAGGTTCCCAAACCGTGTTAACCTTGTCTCCAGGAGTAACTCCCCCCTCCCCGAGATATGCCACTGTCTCACACTAAACAAGAGGCTACAGGGACAAAACCCTGAAGTGCAGTGAAAGTAAATCACCAAGTTTTTCAGGCATGGACAAGCATACTTACTTTTGCTCTTCTTGCATTGAGTTGAGTTGCTCCAGTTTCCCGCGTTGTTCACTTTCCACGTGACGGAGGAGTTCTTTGATCACAGACATAAAAGCGTTGAACTGCATCCCCCCCCCCAAAAAAAACACACAGACAAAAACTAGAGAGAATCCTGATGCTTCTTTAATTACGTGGCTATTACTGGGTGCTAAGAAGCCAAGAAGGTCCTGGGAATATACGCATCCTTGTGGGAATTTTCTTTTTGCGTCCCTAGGCAAGATATTTTGCTCAATCCGGGAGCAGCCAGAGATTGCAAGGGTACCTCAAAGGGCCAAGCTCTTACAAATGTTTGACCAGGGGTTTTACTGCTCGTCGGGGAAATGGAAAAGTTTTAAAGTGACTGGTGTCGATGAGGTGCTTCAATGCACAGACAAAAGAGCAAAAATCTTGACATGGGGTTGAGATGATGGTTGGAGCAAGAGTGGTTGGTGGCAGCAGTTTGAACGTCATTCACAACTCTAAAAAATGTCTGGATATTATCCCTGTTTACCAAAAAAAAGGGACGCTCCAAGTAGCCACCCCTTGGGATATATTGTCAAGTTTTCTGACCTGATTCAAGTTGAGGTTATTATCGATACAGAGCGGGAAGAGGAACGGAAGCAACTTGGTAGCAGCGAGTTCCTTCGTCACACCCAACTTCTTGTGGCTAATGGCCAACTTGACGATCCCTAAAAGATGCCAGAGCATGCAGATATGACATCTACAAAATGTTCCAGCGTTGCACGTGAAATTTCCAGTCTTAATTTCATGTACGGATGACTGATGAAAAATATCTGAATTTGAAGACCTTTCCAAGATCAAATGCTTCAAGTCTCAGAGATAAAACTACCAACTTATGACTCATGATTAGTTCTGATTCTGCCAATATATGAAAATGTATTCACGCAAAATGTGTATCCACAGGACAAGATAGAAGGCAATTCAGCATACAATCCAAGCTGCTATCTCAATCACAAACAACTCCTAAATGAACAAAGATCGGCCACAAGGTCATGAATATTCATAAAATACTTGCATAATTACCCAACATGCCCATGAGAACTGCAGGTTCTCTGGAAGGAATTGCCATGACCATTGGTAGCACCTCGTCGATAACGAACCATTTATCCATGTGGTCCATCAACTTGCCCGTGCAGACAAGAGACCCCACGCGAGACTGAAAAACAAAAAATTTGTTACCGACGAAAAAATGCCTCCTTCAGAAAATGACACCATGAATATTCAAAACAGAAATCCAGATCCACTTCAAGAATCCACTTCAAGAATCAGACAATGGAAAAAAGTATAAAAAAAGACTGCTGAAAGAAAACAGTATTATGTTTATTGAATGGTCACGGGGGCAATAGTGCATATTATACTCACCCCGAAGGGCAATAATCTGACACTGAGAGTGCCACAGTCAAGGCAAAGGGTCATTTGGCCAAGATGTCTTATTGTGCATCAAGTTTGGTTTTGTCAGACACAGACCATACCTGAATCACTTGGCAGTGGCTTGAAATTACGCACAAATCTATGAAAAGAGGCTGCAGCCGTAACCACAGACTCATGGCCATGTAAGTTGGACATGGCCTCAGATCATGTGAATAGCTTCGACAGACAGACCGAGCTCTACTTACTGATAAGCGGTCAGTTTCCAGACACAACTTCTTAATGCGAGGCATGATGGCATGTTTCATGGAAGCCTGGTCAATCAAACTGGCAAAGGTGGGGAGGATAGTCAGACAAAGTTCCTAGAGGGGCAAAAAAGACGACGACAACGTAAACGAGATTATCTGGATCCGGAGCGTTCGTCTGCGTGTTAAGCTTTGATGGGGATACATCACTCCCCTGGATGGAAGGTTTCGGGCATCGTCCTCAGGTGTCTGGGTTGGTTTGTCAGTCCGTCTGTCTGTCTATCTGTCTGTGGTTCTGTCATCCTCAGTTTGTTTAGGTACAGCTTTAGTTGTACTCTGCTGCAAGGGAAGCTCGAGGGCACTAGCAGATAAGAGGCAAGGCATTGTTTCAGATGTGTTCCTTTGGTACTTGGGTACGTTTGTCGGTCCGCCTACTGGCAAGCTAATGAAGATGTTCCCAGTCTAATTTAACTTGTATCACGGCTAAGGGTGCCTCTTGGATTTAGTATATGAAAGTTATAGCTTTTGGTGTTCTCTTGTCCTCAGGAAAAAGTTTGTCTGTCTGCCTGTCGGTAAACCATTAACCAGCCCTTGATCTGCTCACTTGACGGCTTGGCTTGTACCAGAGTCTCACCTGTATCTGTGGAGCAGGTGCCTCTAGTGCTCGGTAGACCAGAGGTAGGACGTGGTTTTTGATATCGTCTGGAGGTGTCTTGGTCAACAGCATGTCCATCCTCTGCATGAAGATCAGCATCACCTGCATGGGTAAACACGTTCCACAGGTTCGCTCAAAAGTCGGAGGAAAGCTCTAATTCTCAATGCCGTAATAACAGAGGCGTAACTAGGGGCAACTTTCTGGGGGGCAGCCGGGGGTGCATATATTTTTCAAGGGGGGCACCACGAGGAAATAAGCTAGTTGCATAGCTAGATAAACTCAACGGAGCTATTCAAGGGAGGGAGGAGCGGCACCCAGGGGGGAATAGGCATCCTGTGCCCCTATAGTTACGATCCTGTGTAATACTTTTATAAAACCTGAGGAGGAGAGGTGGATGTGAAAAATATTGAATGTTTGACGTTCTTGTAATGGAAAGAATAATTTCATTGGGTGAAAGATTGAC